TTTTTTTTTGTCTGCCGTATTTATTCTGTTTATTGTTTTCCAGTTCCTTTTTTATTTTTAAAGGGTTACATAGAGTAATAAAGCCATACGAAGAATAAGAAAAAAAGAAAACACATTATCAGAAATGAAGGTTCCGTACTTAATTTACGTATTTCTAACCCTCGCACCTATTGCAACGCATTCCATCGCCGTTCCCACGGACCCCATAAGACCCATGTTGGACTCCATTGAACTTGCAGAAAGTGCCTTGGCGCCGTTTATAGCATTCACTGGTGGGAAATTGTATGCATCTCAAGATGGCAATAATTCAACATCGGTCTGTCTGCATAGAGGCGAGAGAACGTTACCTATGGTGTTTCCCGTAACACTCACAGACCTTGACAGACTACATAATCTCTTATCAATGCCGCATGGTGAAAAATCAGCAGAGCTTGATATGATAGAAGGCTGTTATTTACGTCGTGAGGGAAAAGATATGCCTTGTGTGGCCTCACTTCAATCTCTTCCTGAAGATTGCTCTATGAATATCACGGATTCCACAAACTATTGGAATTATCGCAGGATGATGACTGTTATGTCCCCAGACTCTGTAAATCTTCTTAACGGTAGCGCTGACTTAATTGTTGAAAATATTTTACAAGTTCAGAACTTACGTGAACGCCTACGCTACTCCATCCTGCGAACACGAGAAGCAGCAAAAGCAGGAATACAATTGTGGCAAATTGTCTCTCAAGGATGGAATAAAAGTAATAATATTCAAGCTCATCAATTATTTGTAGAGGCAGTAAGTGCAAGAGGTGCATCTATCGTAAGAGACTCATATGAAGATGTTATGGATAAATGGAATGTGGTAAAACAGTGGGTGAAAACTTCAGTTGGTGAAATTGATATAAAAGTACCTACCTATACTACTATAAATGGAACTCTTTTAGGTTCTCAAGTCTATTGTAATCCATCTATTTTTTTAGATGATTGGTTAAATTTTTTTGATGAAGTAATGTATGGTTATCACGTTATTTTTGGTTTTGAGCGAGAGGTTGAATCTTTTTATAGTGGATTTAAAATGTTCTATAACAGTACAGGAAGAAACGTTAATAATCTTAATCATTTACCTTGTATAACTGCTTCCTTCGCTATTCAGATGATGATACTTGAAGATTTTCCAGTTCGTCTTGCTTATTGGGATATGGTAAATGAAACAGGTTCAAAAAATGCTCCTTGGCCACTAGAACGTTTTGCTAAACTTGGTGATTCTGGAAAAAGAGTTTCTCTAAATCGTAATTATCTTCTTAATTATTTACATATGTCGTTAGCTTTTTTAACAGAACAACCTCATGTGGGAAAAATATTTGATGGAAACGTTCCATTGGCTACTTGTGTGCGACGAGCAATTCTCCGTACTCCTGGTACAAACGGTGAGCCAGTACCTAGTTCCATTTATGAGTGTATTTCATTATTCCATAATACCTCTTGTAATGACAAACAACCCATTGGTGTTCCTAACATCACCCAATCAGTGCTTGGATTAGAAAAGGATGATGAAAAAGTAACCGTACATTCCTGTCCCTGGGGATTTATTCATCCTAGTGGAAATGCCTGGAATAGTGAAGAAGATTGTGTGATGTGTCCACCTGGATCCTTTGATGATGGTGATGGTGGATGTAGTTGCGGAGTAGACTTCTATCCTTCTGCGGATGGTTGTATGGCGAAGTTGGAGATGTACACACCTTCACCATTATGGGAATGGCGTGTAGATCCGGCTAATGTGTTGACGCCTAATATGGAGGAAAACAACCCAATGCCGTTTCTTAACGTCATGCCTCCAAATACGGCAACAACAACAACATCATCATCATCATCATTGGATAGAGTGACACTAAGAATTCACTGTAGTGAAGGACTCTCACAGTTTGAAGTGTCTATGCCGGGTGTTAATGGAAGTTATATCTCAGGAAACCCCAAACTTATTCCCTTACAGCGTGATATTACTATTGTATCTGCCACTACGATCTCAATTAGACTTGTATCATCAGTAGCCTTCGGTAGTGAACAATGTGATTTCAGTGTATCTGTACAAAATCCAATGTACCGTACTTCTCCACCTCTTCGTGCAGGCACAGCTATTATTTTACCTACAGTTGCAGGAATTCAAGTTTATCCTCTTGATCTTTCTTCAGATTTGTCTTTTCCAAATTCTGTAGAGACTATTCTTTCATGTGATAACTTTCCAAGGAAGAGATCGGCTGTTGTTAATCTGGGTATTTGTTCTATGAAAGATGGAAATTTGGCAGTAGTTGTAAATACACAGAATTACACTCACTTTACAAGAAAATCCTTTCATATTATTAAGCAAGCCGTTTGGGCAGAAAAAAAACGAGCAACCGAACTTGGAAATATGATGAGTAAAATAGGAGATCGTATTCAGCTTGCGGTACGGATAACAATTCTTGAAAACAATACAACACCTTCACAGAAGAGAGTTATTAACAATCAATTCCCTATTCTTAATGATATTTATAAGTTTATTGTACTTCCTGGAACTCCAGAGTATGTAACTGTGGAGTTTCAGATTGTGGACCGGTGTGCCACTAGATCAGGAACACAAGACCCCAGCTGTGCAAATGCAAAATTACTCTTCGCACAAGGCGCAGTAACCACAAGACTCTTTAAATTGCCAACCAATACTAATACCACAGAAACATCAGAGTACTCGGAGGGAACGGGGGAAGATGAGAATCACTTAAATACACCGACTACGCCTTGGTGGCGAGTACTACTTATTGTGATTGGAGTTCTTGACACCTTACTGTTCATTACAGCAGGAGTGTTACTGGTAATCTATTTGGTGTACTTTCGAAGTGCAGATCGTTCTAACAGTGTAAAGAGTGACAGTGAATGTCCGTTTGACAGTGTTTCACCCTCAACAGATTCTGCAGTGCGAGAGGAAGATGATGATGGTATGGGGATTAATGAGAGTTCACATGAACCCACCGTGTTCATGGAATCTGTGGAGACATCGCGTCCATATTGATATATTTTTATTTCGTTTACTTCTCACAGTGTTTTTTTTTTTTTTTTTGTGTTTACTATCATTAATTCATTCTTTCTTTGTTTTTATATAAATTTTTTGTTACAAGGTTTTTTTTTCACTTGTTTTTTTTTTTTTTGTTCTCGTGTTTTGTGGGTGTGGTTACTTGGTCCTCTTTTCATAAAAACAGGCTGTTGCGGTGGCAACTTTAAATACAAACACTAAATGTCTGATCTGTTCTCACAATTCTCTCTTATTTCTTTTAATGCTATTAATTTCACAACTAACATTTGTTGTTTTTGTTTGTTTGATTATTTGTTTAGAGGGGAGGAAGGGGATATGGGGAAGAGGAATGGAGTAAAGACTGAGGGTCTGTAGGGTTTTTTCTCCTTTTCTGGTTATTATATTTGTTTCTTCTATTCACATTATTAAGTTCACTGATGGTTTTTTCTTGTGTTCTTATGATAGGGGTATCATGTATATCTCTAGAAAGTAAAAGGTGTGTGTGTGTGTGTGTTTGCTGCTCATCTATCATTTAAATATATTCTCTCTTCTCATATTTGTGTTGTTTTTGTTGTTTGTTGTTTTTACCTATGGGTAGTCTGAAAGAGAAAGAGAGAGAACAAGGAAACAAAGAAAAAATGTTTGCACGGGCTTCTTTGCTTCTTGCTTTGGGGGTTTTTCTTTCATATCTATATGTCCCGAGTAAGCCTAATGAGTCCACGAGTGATGTGAACATAACAAATAAAACCCAAAAAGTGCATATGTTTCTCTGTGCAGATAATGGGACTTATTCGGGTCGACATGAGCTTCATTATATTAAGGACGCTATGGAAGATATCCGTAGTGTTGAAATTGCAGACTGTCAAACCGCTTTTTTTGGTTATCTCGTAAAGAGTACTGGTGAACGATTACCATCATTAATTGTAACTACAGGCATTTACGTTGTGAGCGCTGCGGCGTGTACGGTGAATCTCATGCAGGACCCACGCTATGAGGCCTTATCCATTGTCTATCTTGGAACTGCTGGTATATCCCCCACTGTGGGTGGATGGAACCCAAATGTGGTGGGTGGCTGCGGTGTGTTGGAGAAACCAAATAAAAATCATTTGGGAAGTGTCTGCGTTACAAACGCTGCACTGCTGCAGGAGTGTGGAATTTGTTATGAAGAAACGGTGAAATCGGAGTGTTCACGTCCTAATTGTGTGCGGCATAATGATACCACCTTCTTTGGACGTTGTGCCTATCGACATCCAACATCATTGGCGTCTATGATGCGAGAGGCGATGAAGGGAAAAGAATTTCCAGCACCATCAAGTACTGTGAAGGAGGGAATGGAATCCTTCTGGAAGGCCCATAGCGCAGTGGAAGATCGTACACCACCGGCAACACCTCAACTGTTAAACTGCGCAGAGACAGACACAAGTCAAATTCTTGCAGGGGCACGCAGCGATTTGCTTTGTCGTGAATACAGTCATGACCTACTTCCTGATATTCCTTTGGAAGATCATACCTGTGTCCAGGCAATGGAAGGATTTGGATTTCTACATGTCATGTCTCGCTATCCACATGTACCAATAGCGTTGGTACGTGCCGGTTCTAATTATAATATGTATCCAATGTCCATTATTGGTAAAGATGATGATGGAACACCTATCTGGAGTCAAAATACTACTTTCATGACTGAAGAAGAGTACAATGAATATACAAGGGCCTCATATCGTTATGCTGTATTGACGGCCAGTACGGTTGTATTAAACTATTTTACAGGATCCCCAGCTGTTAGCGTGGAATGAGGCAAGGAAACAACCACAGAGTAAATTAATTCCTCTTATTCCCTTTTTTTTTCTTGGGGTTTATTCTTGGGTTGGATGTATTGATATAGTTCCTTATTGTTTGTTCTCGATGTGGACTGAGAATAACGTGGGCTATATAGAAGCAAGGGGAAAAAAAAAAAATAGGGCAGAACCTTTGGTGAGTGAGAGAAGTGTGTGGGTGACTGTCATTCAGAATACATAAAAAAAGCAAATAAAATTGATGCTGCTTTAATTCGTTTCTCGTTTTTTTTTGTTTTTTTTTTTTTTTTTTTACTGAAAGCTTGCGATAAGAATGGCAAAGCCTTACTTTTTGGAACTACAGATTTATGGGTTTTGGTAAACCAAATTCTATTTCTTTTATCTTTACAGTCTGCCTAACAGTAAGTTTCTGAAAAGCCCACCCAACCCAACCCACTCCGCCCCGAGCGGGAAGCGGGATAAAAGGGCTTCTCAGCACTTCCATTTCGTTAGTTTCTGTTATGTATTAGCAATCATCATCGGGAAAAGATTTGATAGAGATATGTAAATAATGCATCAAAACTTGTTTGAACAATCATGGAAACAAAATATTTTTCTCTTGTGTTTTATTTCTTTAAAGAGGGAGTAAGGCTAGGGTATTCTATAGTTGAATAAATGTTTATGTTTCTTTATTTGTTTGTTGTTTTTTGTTTTTTTTTTTTTCTGGTGTGTGTGGGGGAAGGGTGGGGAGATTCATGTGAAGCTCATTACATTGTCTGTGTATGTTTTTTTTTTTTTCTTCTATTCTTCCCTTTCTTTTTTTCTTTTAGGCTTCCTAACTATTATTATAGTTTTTTGCCCTCTTGCTTCTAGGTGAAATAGAAAAATGACTATTCGTGTTGTGCTGCAGAGCATTGCAAAAGGTTCCATTCTTGTTGACAACGCCGAGCGTTACGTGAATGTGGGCCGTGGAATGATTGTGTACATTGCCTTTCTCGATGATATTGATGATACCGCACTGCAGCGAGCCGTAACAACTATTATGACGGCCAAAGTACTTCAGCGTCCATCTTTAGAAGAAAAAGAAGAAGGATCTTCTCAGTTCATCACTTCACTGGAGGAATGGCGGGATGCGGATATTCTGGTGGTGCCACAAGCAACACTTGGAGGAAAACTTAAAGGGCGAAACGTGCAGTTTCACTCATTGGTAAATAAAACAAGAGGACTTGAACTTTTTAGTCGATTTTGTCAGTTACTTCGAGAAGCACGGGGAATAGATACAAACACAGTGGATGCCAATGGATCACCTCTGGAGACAATCGCAAGTGTTGATGGTTCGTGTTCTGCAAGTCGTGTCATTAACGGAACGTACGGTAATCGTCAGGGACTGCGGTTTGAATCGGATGGACCTCTCAGTCATTTTTTGGATCTTTAGGAAATACTTGCATACACACCTCCACTGAGAAATCGGTGGGAGTGGGAAGAGATGTTCATTATTTTCCTTATTTGAGATAAGGATAGTTGTGAATTGATGTGATGTAGGGGTGTGGGTATTTACCCCTTGACTCTCTTTGTATGTGTGTCTGTGTAGTTGGTTTATTAGTACATTTTCTGGTTCCTACAGCAAGCATACTATATTTATTTGTTTATTTACTGGTTCTGTTGTTTCATCTATTGTGTCTGTATTTCCCTATTTCTCTCTCTCTCTCTCTCTATATATATATATATATATCCATTTCTCTTTGACTGTATGCCTTTGTGTCTATGTGCTAGCATTATTTGCCTTTTCTTTTTTCCCCTTTGTTTTTTTTTTTATTATTATTATTTGTATTTATATATATACTTTTATTTCTTGGCTGTAAGTGGTGAGTACGGCGTGTGGTATGCGGCGTGGCTGCCGCCTTCTCACCAATCATGCGGCACTGACGCCTTCAGCTGCTGCAACTACAACTGGAATGGGTACTACTACCACTACTACGAGTACCGCTGTGGAGCCACAGTGGACTCCGCAACAGCGTTGTTACCGAGATCTCATGAAAAGTCTTCGCTCGGCGTACTTTCACGATCGTGCGAAATTGTTCTGGTCACGCCATCGTGTTCTTGTGGAGTTCTACAAGTACTCGGGGGAAACAAATGGGGAGGCTGTTCGACAGTTACTGGGTGTTAGCCATGAGGTTGCTGCATTCATTTCTCATCACATGCGTACGGATGTGGAGCGCATTATTAAACACAATGAGGCGATGTTGGCGCTTCCCGTAGATAAAGCGAAAAAGTTCCGCAATGATTATCTCTTAGCAGAGAAACAGCATGATTCATGGTGCAAGCAAAAGATCAAGAACATATTAAGTCGTCGACCGCCCCCACCGTATCCGTTTTTCTAATAATCAAAGAAGAAGAAAAGAAGATGTGGAGGGAACTTTTGGATGAGAGTACTCTGCTTGATACATCTGAAGAAATACCTCATCTTTTATTATTATTATTATTATTATTATTATTATTATTATTATTATTATTATTATTATTATTATATTTATTTTCGAAGGATTTTGCTGACAGTTTTTTTTTTTTTTTTCTTACCCCTTTGGGATCTCTCTTATTTTTTCTTGTTGTTTAATAATTTAAACAAAATAATAGTGATCAAAGCAACACCAACACACACAAAAAAAAAAAATAATAATAATAATTTTGCTCTTGGCGTGGGTACAATCTGTGCAAAGACAATGACTGACAACTCTGTGGTTGTAGCCAAACACGAGGATGGTTCCTCCGTCACTGTGCATTTGCAAGGCGCTCACATTACCAGTTGGCGCAACAGTAACGGCGAGGAACTTCTTTACACCAGTCCAACAGCCGTTTATAAGGAAGGGGTGCCCATTCGCGGTGGTGTTCCCATCATTTTTCCGCAGTTCTCAAACTCCGGTCCGTTGCCTTCACACGGCTTTGCACGTGTTCGGCAGTGGAATAAACAGCAAGTGCAGAGTGGAATGGCCTCTTTTACGCTCGATGTGGATCCACGTGAGATGCAGCACTCACATTCAGAGAAGGCGGAGGAGAACACGACAGCATCAACTGGAGTGGTTTCACTTCTGTACACCATAACTTTCAGTAATGATCAGTTGCAATTGCAGATGAAGATCGTAAATAATGACTCGGCGTCAGATGTTGAGTTTACGTTTGCATTCCATACGTACTTTGCCGTAGATGATATTGAACAGACGTTAGTAAATGGAGTAAATTTAACGCCTTATATTGACAGTTTATCTAAAGAAAGGAAAGTTCGACACCCAGAACAGTTTTGGGGATTTATGGGAGAAGTTGATCGAATTTACCTTAATCAACGTTGTGCGGTTATGTTACTTGATATGTCTAAGAAACGTACCACGCACATTGCTGGAGTAAATCTTCCAGATGTGGTACTGTGGAACCCGTGGGTTGAGAAATCGGCAAAAATGAAAGATCTTCCTCCAGATGGCTACAAGAAATTTGTTTGCGTTGAACACGGCGCAATAGGGAAAAAAGTAAAAATTCCTCCTAAAGGAGAATGGAAGGCATCACAGCAAATTCTGCGTTTCAGCTGTTTAAAGTTGTAACGCCGTACACATCAAACTTTCTATTATCTGTGTGTTTGTTTGTTTGTTTTTGTTTTTGTTTTTTTTTTTTTTCTTCTGATTTTTTTTTCCCTTTTGTTTCCATGGGAGGTGGGTTGGGTGGTAAAATGTAATCAATTTATGGAGTATGTGAAGTTTGATTAAAGGAAAGAATACTAGGGGAAATGCATAGGAGTTTCAATCTTGTAGAACAGGTGTTTTTATTTATTGTTGTGGTAGTTCTCTTTCTCTTTCTCTTTCTCTCTTTTTTTTTTTTTCATTTTGTTTGTTCATCTTTTCTTTTTCTATAGCAGACAAATTTTGTTATTTACTGTGCGTAACTTTACGTCAGTGACTCCATTTTTTTTCGCATCTATGTGTAATCAAAAGAAGGAATAAAATGAAAGATGAAGATACTACCAATTTTTTTTTTATTCTCGCTCTCTATCTATCTATCTATCTGCTTGTTTTCTTTTCTTTCTTTCTCTTTCATTCTGTTTATGTGTATTCACAACATATCAATACATCTCCATTTATATTAGTTCTCCCCTTCCTTCTTCTTCTTCCTTATTTCCAGCTCTGTGTGTGTGCTGACAGGCCCTAACCCCCCCAAAAAAAAGAAAAACCCACAGCAAAAAGAAAAAGAAAAGAAAAAAAAAACGAACAAATAGATATCTACACTCATATATATTTATATACACATATCCACATTCTCTCTCTCTCTCTCTACTGGTAATAATGGCTTTACAGTGTGAGAAGGACCTCCTCCGCCTTCTTCGCAGTAGTGTCAATGCGAATACCAGCAATAATGGTAATCCCACACCTCAACTCGCCCCTGTTGATATCATTGCCGCACTACACGCCGCACTTGCCACTCACGCTGGAGAATATTATGATGCCCATTGTCATGCATTTCTCAGTTACGTGACAAAATTGCAGGAATTTGGATTTACAGCCGTAAAACAGGAGAAGTGTAGTTTTGCGATGCCGCAGCGGGATGGAACGTTAACAGAGTTTTTTCCAAATGGTGCTGCTGTTGAGGTAACGGCTGCAAACTATTCATACTTTTTGAGATTATATTGGAAATGGCAGCAGGAAATCATACCAGATGTACAAGACTTTCCAATTGCCCCATTATTACACCTTGGTGGAAATTATTACCCTATTGCAATCCTTATAGTAGATTACTTGACAAATATAAACTCAGATTGGTGTATACGAAATGAGAATGATTGGAATGCTCTTCAAGTGACCTACTGTATACCATTTGCTGGAGAATTACATGATATACGACCGGGAACACGAAATGATCCTGTTCCCTTTTCAAAAGCCAGACGATTTGGATTGGATGCTAAGAAATCATTACAACAACTTATGGATGCCGCTCACAATTCCGCTTGGTCTTCTACTCTCTCAGAAGAAGAATCTCAACAACAACAACAGCTCTCATTATTGTCTCATGGATATTTGGATTTTTTACGTTCCTTAGATAGTGTAAACAAACCTATGGGTATTTCAATGACAGAAGAGGAATTCAACAATCTTAACCTCACATACAGTATACCACTCAATAACACATTTGTTCCACTCATTTCTGATAATGATAATGAACCTGTAAAGTTGGAAGATAAAGATCGTTTTATAGCTTTGGCCAGATCAAAAATAATGGAATCTATAAATGTTGAAACTAGATCCAGTAACAATATTTCTAGCTGTTGTTCTCATTTAAAAGAAATGCCTTCACTGGAAGAGAGTTTTTGGAATGTTATTGAAAGTATTAGGAAGGACCCAACATCTGGTCCTGGTCTCTGTTTCTCAATCCGAATTCTAGATCGTGATGTTCTTCTTAAAGAAGATGGTGCTAATATTGCGGTTACCAAAGAGAATGTAGAAGAGTATGTTAATCTTATCTACAAAATGAGAGATATGATTCATGCCGCCTTTGTTGAAGATGAAGTTAAAAATAGTCATCACAGTTTTTCTACAATTTCTTCATTAAACTCCTCTGAAGCTAAAAGGCGATCATTAGAGCAGTACCCACCACATAATTCTGCAGAGTGGAATAATTTTACTTTAGATCCAGATGATTTAAAAAATGAAGTATTTCAAATTTTACAAAATATTCAACTTAATAAGAATATGATGAAACCAGAAGATTATGGTGGTCCATTTCTTACTTTTGTTATTCCAACATATGGAAAAGGATTATATAAACTACTTCCCAATGGAAACTCTATTCCTGTTACATGGTCAAACCATGAAGAGTTTTTAGAACGACTGGAGTTTGAAAAACAACGTCTTGAAGGTATTCTCTTGGCTCAGCGACTGTATACATCTAAGCGAAAACAACAAAAGCAGCAGTCAACAAATTCGGGTTCGTTTGTAAAGATGCTTCCAGGTGACTGGAGTCTTCCTGTTTGTCAGCGCAGCTCAACACTTCCCTTGCAAAAAGAGACAAATCAAAATAAAAGTGAACATAAAAAATTATTAAATCATCCTCCACCAGAAACTATGAATGCAGCGGCTATCACCACACTTGATGAAATTGACATGTATGAAAAAAATCTCAGAACTCTTCAAAATGGAAAAGATAAGATTTCACTTAAAGTGTTTGAGGATTTTGGTCTTCGGTATGTGTTGACTGTGGGTGGAGAGAAGATTGAGTTAGTGAAGGGTGGTAAACGACGTCTTGTGTGCGTTCAGGATTTAGATACGTACGTGAATCTGGCGGTGGATAAATTAAGTGAGATACGACGTTGTATTCTCTCGCAGGTCCAGAGAAATGACAGTGAAGTTCATGTATCATAATTGGAAAAGGTCACTATGAGAGAAAGAGAAAGATAAGCTGTGTGGTTATTGAGAAAAAAAAAAAAAAAAAAAACGAAAAAATAGTTTACTCTTATTTCATCTTTTTTTTATTTATTTATTTTGTAAGTGCATTGAGAAAAAAAAACTGTTATTCTTTAGTCTAAAGAATTTGATGGTTATGTCTTTTTTTTTGCTTTTTTTTTCATTTATATTTGTATACTTCTCTTAATACTGTACTTGACTTCCTAATACACTTCTCTTCCTTTGTCTATTTGTTACTGTATGCACAGAACGGATTTTTTTTCTGTTTTTTTTCCTCCTCACTCTATTTATTTATTAGAAATTAAATTGTACGTCTTCTAACATTTGAAAAGCTGTGCGTTTCTATGTATATATGTATATGTGTATATGTTTGTTTATTTGTTTTTTTTTTTTTTATTTTTGTCTCTTATTTACTGAGCGTTAAGAGAGAAAGGAGTTTGTGATGAATTTCACTGGATTATTTGTTTTTCATTATGCCGAAATTTATTTTTATCTTTCCTATTGTACGGGTTTTTTTTTTTTTTTTTTTGTTTATTTATTTATTTTTCATTGGTATGCTCTTATTTCCTTATGGTTTTTTTTTTTTTTTATCCTTCAACTTTATATATATTTACCTATGAAGAGATGGATAGAATTCCCTGAATTGCTCTTCTCATGATGTAATTAATGACAGTGCCTATGTGGTACAATTTTTGCCTGTTTTGATTCTGTTTTTGTATGGTCTCCACATTTCCAATTGTTTCTTTATTTATTTTATTTTTTTTTTCTGTATATATATGTGTGTGTATGTTCGTTTTGTTCTCTATGGTTTTTATTATTTTTTTTTTTTCTGTTTACATGTTGCCTTTATTACTCTATGGACATATAGGGTCTAGTAAGAAAAAGATAGTTTTATAGCATTTTCGATATCTGGCGAAACAACAGTTCTCTAATAACAACAATAACAAAAATAGCAAAAGCAATAGCAACAAGAGTAAATATGAAACAATTGATTGGTCCCTGTGCACTCGCTGTGGGGTTCTCTTCTCTCTGTTTTGTGGGGATAACAAGTGTACCAAGTGTCCTGTGTGCCACCTTTGCCCTTTATGTGTCTGGTGTTGTGCCGGAGAATAATTACTTCCCGGATGTGTGGTTTAGAAGTAACATCTTCTCTGGCGTTTATCAACTTTACTGCTCTCATTTGTTTGGGTATAAATACCTGCGACCAAAACTACACGCCCGTCAACCGTTTCCACATTCCGACTATAGACATGGTGTACGTTGTTTGAGTGGGATACACAAGTCCACATCGCCATTCCCTTCAGAGTTCGCGACAAATTCTGAGTTTTATCAACGTGGAGGTGGTCTTGTGGATCTCCGTAGTTTAGGAGAAGAGGGATATGATGGAGTTACGATTGTTCCTGTTCCTATTTTTACTGATAACTATGCCTATTTTATTTTAAGTTTTTCAACTAAACGATGTGCTGTAGTTGATCCAGCAGATCCTGTTCTCGTATTATATATGTTAAAAGTTATTCGGCATTTAACAAAGTTAGACTTTATCTTGACTGATATTTTGACAACCCATAAACACTGGGATCATGCAGGTGGTAATCAAGAGTTACTCCAACAAGCACAAAATAGAGAATCTGATGATAGTGAATTAATGGATGCTGCATTGAAAGTTTATGGATCTGATATTGATAAACCACATGCCTGTACGGATTATATTAAAGGAGGTGATGTGTTGAGTGTAGCGGGTGGAGGTGTAGCGGTCTCTGTAGTGGCCTCACCTGGTCATACCGCTGGATCTGTTTTATTTCTGGTTGGAGATGCCTTAAAAGAAAAGGATGCCTCGCAGCGATTGGCACTTTTCACAGGAGATTGTATTTTCTGTGGAGGTTGTGGTGCTATGTTTGAAGTACGTTCACTGGATGAAGTTATTCAAAGCTCAGAATTATTTCTTGGTCAGAAATTGCAAATACATCCATCCAATAAACAATTGGTTTCATCAAATAATGTCCTTGTATACGTTGGACACGAATATACAGAACGATTACTACGAGAATTGATAAACCTTCAGAAAGGAGAAGAAGATAAAGGTACAGATGGAGTAGAAACAGGAAATCAAAAATATCGTAAAGAATTGCGTATTGCTATGGGATTAACACGACAATTACGTTCTACATTTATGCAAGATGATATCATGAATGCCGTTCCTTTAGAAAGTGGTGTAGAGTCTTTATGGAGTCTTCCGGCGTGTACGGTGCCATCCACATTGGCGATTGAAAGGAAAACCAACCCGCTTCTCACGCTTAAACGTTCGGCCTTTGAACAAGCGAATACAGATCGCTTCTCAACAAATAAACTTCAAGGTATCATTTATACCTCAAATGAGAGAGATATTGTGGAGTAAGTAAGTTGGAAATTATTATAGTAGTTTTTTTATTTTCTCTTGTTATTGTTGTTATTGTTTTTTTTTTTTGTTCTACTGTTCTCCACTGTATTCACTTACGGATCAATGTGGTTCTCCATATTATTATTATTATTATTATTATTATTATTATTATTATTATTATTATTATTGTTTAATGTTTGATCGTTTTCTTTTTTTTTCTATCTCTATATTCTAAATGCCTTCTTCTCTTAATGGCATCACACTATTATCTTTTTAATTTGTTTTCTTTTCCTTCTTTGGAGATAATCATATACCTTTGCCTTTATACTTCTTTTCTCTTCTTTTCTCTCTCTCTCTCTTCATTACATTCTCCTTTAATGTTTTACACTCAATCACATGTGTTAGTTTCAGCGCAGGATAAATAGAACCCTCATGTTCCCAGCAGCCGCGTACAACACCAACCCGAACGTTGGGTCTGTTCTCGACACCAACGCCCCGTACATTCCTGCCGTTTCTCCTGCTGTTGCTGCTGCCGTTAGTAGTGGTGGTGGTGGTGGTGGTCTTTTACCGCCGTCTTTGGATGAAGTGGAGATTCTTCCAATTGGCAGCGGAGGTGAAGTTGGGCGATCGTGTGTGGTGGTTCGCTACAAGGGACGTTCTGTCATGCTGGACTGTGGGAATCACCCGGCGAAGAGTGGATTGGATTCGCTCCCATTCTTTGACAGTATTCGCTGTGATGAGATTGATCTTGTTCTTATCACACACTTTCATTTGGATCACTGTGGAGCATTACCGTACTTTTGTGAACAGACATCCTTTAAAGGACGTGTCTTCATGACAAGTGCAACTAAAGCTTTTTATAAAATGGTAATGAATGATTTTTTACGCGTCGGTGCTAGCGCTAATGATATTGTAACAAATGAATGGTTACAAAGTACAATTGAAAAAATTGAAACGGTTGAATATCATGAAGAAGTAACGGTTAATGGTATTCGATTTCAACCTTTTAATGCTGGACACGTACTTGGTGCGGCTCTCTTTATGGTGGATATTGCCGGTATGAAGACACTCTACACAGGCGACTTCTCACGGGTTCCCGATCGTCACTTGTTGGGAGCGGAGGTCCCGCCCTATTCACCGGATATTCTCATCGTGGAGAGTACAAATGGAATCCGTGAATTGGAATCCCGTGAGGAACGCGAAGGACTCTTCACGACGTGGGTTCATGATGTTGTGAAGGGTGGTGGTCGTTGTTTGGTTCCCGTCTTTGCATTAGGACGAGCACAGGAATTATTATTGATTCTTGAAGAGTATTGGGAAGCACATAAGGAATTACAACATATTCCTATTTACTACGCTTCTTCTTTGGCGCAGCGGTGTATGAAATTATATCAAACCTTTGTTAGCGCTATGAATGATCGTGTTAAACAACAACATGCAAATCATCGTAATCCATTTGTTTTTAAGTATATTCAATCTCTTGTGGATACTCGATCTTTTGAAGATACAGGACCGTGTGTTGTATTAGCCTCACCTGGTATGTTACAATCTGGTATTTCTTTGGAATTATTTGAAAGATGGTGTGGTGATAGACGTAATGGTATTATTATTGCAGGATATTGTGTGGATGGAACGATTGCCAAAGATGTTCTTTCCAAACCAAAAGAAATTACTAAACCAGGTGGTAAGGTACTTCCTCTTCGTATGCGAACTATTCAATCCGTTTCATTTTCTGCACATTCAGATGGAAGACAAACACGTGATTTTATTCAAGCACTTCCCAAGACACAACATGTTATTCTTGTTCATGGAAATGTTGGTGCAATGGGACAGTTAAAAAATAAATTACAACAAGATTTTACAGAACGTGGAGTTAAAGTATATGCTACTAAGAATCAAGAAGTTATTCGTATTCCATTCAGTGTTCAACGTACGGCAAAGGTTATGGGTACTTTAGCGAGTACTCCGGCGAAAGATGGTGGATTTGTCAGTGGAGTATTACTTGTTTCTGGACAACATGCCTATAGTGTTGTTCACCCAACCGATATTCCACTCTTTACAGATCTTGATGTAGCCCAAATTAATCAATCTATGGTATTACCACTTCCTCGCTATAAGTCTGCTTTAGAGGTACTGGAAGTGTTACAACGTTATTTTGAACAAAGTCAAATGTTTGAAGAAGTAACACCAAAACAACAAACATATGATGCAACGAATACAGAAAATAATAATGAAAAAGAAGATGAACAGTCTACAAGTACGACACGTATTGCTGTTTCTAAAGAAGTGTGGGTAGATGTACAACAGAGTGCAAGATCTCAAACGACTCTTACTATAACTTGGACAGCAAGTCATCGTAATGATCTTCTCGCAGATGTAACATGTATTGCTTTAACAAAGATTATGCATGATGAACTTACCACAGAGAATACAGATCCACTTCCTGTTGATATTACTGGTAATGATCGCCTCTTTCGTTTGAAATGTTTTCATCACATGATGTCTCAGTTTTATCCATCTGTGACGACCAATCTTGGTACAGGGGTTTGTGTATTAACCCTTGAGGATGGGGAAACGGCAACCATTACCGACTGTATTGAGATTGACTTGCAGGATAGTAAAAAGTCTGCATACTCTTCACCTGAAGTTGAGCGTCTTAAGAGTATTTTAAAACGTGTGTATCTGACATTATTTCCCATTCCTGTTGATCAGGGTTGGTGTGATTGTGGCATTATACACGGTGCAGAACCTGTGCCAGAAGAGGCAGTCTAACATGAAGTGAGAGAAGAATATATTTAGAGAAATAAGTGTTGAAGTAACTTCTTCTTCTTCTTCCGTTTGATTTCTTTAAATTATTTCTAATCTTCGCTTTCTATTCTCTCTCTCTCTCTCTCTAGGTTTTCTTTTTCTTTTTATATTTTAAGTCAATATTAATGGCAGTCTCAATGTCCTTATTGACAAATTCCGGCGTTTTTTTTTTTCCTGCTGTGTGCGACTGTAGACACTTTTTGGTGAAGTTATCTATTTTACCTTTTTTTTCTTTTTTACAGCGTATGTTAGGGTAAAATAACATTATCCTGATCACCACTTGAGCTCTTTTTTTTTCCTCTTTGTAATGAAAAGGGAAAGGAAATGGGTGGTTTCATTCTTTTTTGATCTTCTCTGTTTTTTCTTTTCTACAATAATGATTCGTGAAACTTTTCCTTTTTTTTTTCTATCACTTTTTCTTTCTCTCTCTCTGATTCTATTTCTTCACATCAAGTGCGTTCTTTTTTTTTTTTAATTATTGGCACGCAGACGGACCTAACACTGTGTAACTAAGAAAGCAGGAAGCAGCAGTGAACACATCATAGAAGGAGAAACCAAAGGGAGGATCCACGTAAAATGGCCAAGAAGGAGGAGATAAAGGCTGAGGAGAAGCCTGTGGTGGTGAAGAAGGAAGAGCGGGCGGAGGACAGCAACGCCGACAGCAGTGAAAGCGATAACGATGAGGAAGTTAACTGGTGGGAACAGGAGGAATTGCACTTCAGCACAAAAGGTGAGAAGCGCTGGGACACCCTCAGCCACAACGGCGTCATGTTTCCCCCACTGTACACCCCGCACGGCATTCCCATTCTTTACGAGGGCCGCGAGTTCAAAATGACACCAGAGGAGGAGGAAGTCGCCACGATGTTTGCCGTCCTGCGGGAACACGAGTACTACCGCAGTGAGATATTCCGCCGTAATTTCTTTCACAGCTGGCGGGAAATTCTCGATAAGCGCAGTCACCCGATTCGACGCCTGGAGCTCTGCGACTTTGACGCCATCTATCAATGGCACCTGCGGGAACGAGAAAAGAAGTTAAGCCGCACAAAGGAAGAAAAAAAAGCAATAAAATTACAGGCAGAAAAAGAGGCAGAACCCTACAGGTGGTGTATTTGGGATGGAAAAAAGGAGCAAGTGGCAAACTTTCGTGTAGAGCCACCAGGACTTTTTCGTGGACGTGGAAAACATCCTTTAATGGGAAAGCTTAAAAAACGGGTTCAACCTGAGGATATAACTATTAATATCGATGAGAATTCACCTATTCCTGAACCACCAGCAGGACATCGTTGGAAAGAAGTTATACATGAGCATAATGTAACTTGGTTGGCAACTTGGCGTGACTCTATTCTTGGAAATTATAAGTATGTAATGCTTGCCCCTTCTTCAACTATTAAGGGTCAATCAGATATGCTTAAATTTGAAAGGGCACGAAAACTTAAGGATCACGTTGGTGAGATTCGTGCTTCTTATATGGAAGATTTTAACTCACGTGATCAGTTGGTTGCCCAACGTGCGGTTGCCATGTATTTCATTGATAAACTTGCACTTCGTGTGGGTAATGAAAAGGGTTCAGACGAGGCAGATACTGTTGGATGTTGTTCCTTACGTGTTGAGCATATTGAATTAAAACCAAATAATGTGGTAAAGTTTGACTTTCTCGGAAAGGATTCTATTCGTTATGAAAATGAAGCTGTAGTGCTTTCGCAAGTATATGATCTACTTCGACGATTTACGAAAGGTAAAAAACCATCTGAAGATATTTTTGATAGGATTAATCCTACAATACTTAATGATCATTTAAAATCCTTTATGAGTGAGTTAAGTGCCAAAGTTTTTCGTACATATAATGCGTCTATCACTTTAGATAGGTGGTTTAAAGAAAAACCTGTGGAACCTACAGCATCTTTAGCTGATAAACTTGCCTATTTTAATAAAGCCAACACGGAGGTTGCTATCCTTTGTAATCACCAAAAGTCGATCTCGAAGAATCACCGAAACACGATGCATCAGTTAACGACAAAATCAAATTACACCCGTGAAATCATTGAATCTCTAAGGCGTGCAAGGGAAACAGCAAAGAAATCATTGGAAAAGGCATCAGAAGAATTCTTTGCAGAGCAGGATGATAAACAATATAAATGGCTTGAGGCCTATGGTACAGAAGAGCAAAAGAAGGAATATGATGAAATTGTCAAAAATCGAGGATTACCACGACAATCATCCTCTAAACCCAAGTCCAAATCTAAAACATCAACGACTAATGGGAAAAAGAAAAGTGGAAGCAGTAGTAGTAAGGGTGCAAAGAAAAAATCTAAGAAGTCTACAAAAGCATCTCCAAAGAAGAAAACTGTAGATTCAAAGAAATCAACTGCTGCCGCAAAGAAGGGGAAGAAAAATAATAAGGCAGTAGAATCGGATTCAGATGATGATAAAGCTATTGCTGATATTGTGAAAGCAAAGAAAGTCGGTAAAAATGGAACGAAGGGTGGTGTAAAGAGAGGCCGTAATGGTGATGGTGTGGTAAAGGCAGAACAAAGTGACGATGATGATATTCCAATCACTTCGCTTTGCTGAAAAACTTTGAAAGAGGTGATGAAGTGAAACTAGCCATTTGATTTCTGAATTAATAGATATTTCCTGTGTGCCAACTGTATTGTCTGTGAAGTGGTGTTTGTCACCTTAGGAAAGGTTGAATTCTTGTAGATAATAGAAGAATGACTGAAGAGGGCGCAAGTCAAGAAGAAGAAAAAAAAAAAAAAAGAAACATGGAAAGAAGATTCTTCCAATGGGAATATGTCCTTGATATGGGGATTTTCTTTTTCTCTTTAGTCTTTCTCGGTGTGTATGTGTGCGCGCGCTTCCTATTTCTATTATTATTATTATTATTATTATTATTATTTTCACACTCTTTTTTTTTTCGGTTTCTCCTTGTTTATTCAACTTTCCATTTTTTATTCTGGGCAACACGATGCGTGAGGCGGTAAAGAAGAACAATAGGGAAAAAATCCACTATGGATAGACGAGGATTAAAAAAAAAAAGAAAAAAAAAACACGCATAATTTCATATGTCATTTGTATCTTGTGATGTATTAATGGATGTGCTGAGAACAAGTATAAAAAAAAATTGAAGAAAATAAGAGGAGAATGAAAGAAATAAAAAAAAGGAAAGGAATGTATGTGAAAAAAAGGGGTCTGGGAAGACAAAAGAAGCACAGGCTGCCCGTTCGCATACACTGGGCATGCGGAAGAAGAAGAATTTTTTCTTTAAAGAAGTTGCCCTTGTTCATATAATCAAATGTGTTTGTGAATATCATGTACATTTGAGTCTAATGATTATTTCTTATTCTTTATTATTGTTCTTTATTAATATTATTATTACTATTATTTATTATTACTATTATTGTTATTATTATTATTATTTGTTATTGTTACTGTTTTTACTATTTTCTTGTTAGTAGTAGCGTGGCGTCTAGCAATATATCTCTTCACAGGTGGTATATATATATATATATATATATAGAGAGAGAGAGAGAGATAAAGGGAGAGATGCGCCTTTCCAGACGTGTTCAACTGAACCCTGAAGTTATTGATTCGAGTCTTCAGCGACTCAATTGTGTCTCGCAGGATATTGTGGAAGTTGATATTCACCCTACTGTATTGTCGCTTCTCACAACCGTCGCGCCTGACGAAGTGCGCCGGGCTGTGGCTGAACTGCCGCCGCACAGTACATTCAATAATGGAAGAAGAGAAGAAGAGCAGGTAGACTTCAGCGGGGCTGGAATTAACACGGCAGTGGCATTCTCTCTTCACACAGTGCTGCTTTCCCGCAATCGACTCACAAAAACTTTGGGTATTGTGCAGTTTAAAAATACAGTACGTCTCTCATTATTGGGGAATAGATTGCAGCGGATTGAAGACTGTGAAGCTCTCTCACTTTTACCATCACTTCAGTATCTTTCACTAGAGTTTAATCCGGTAACATCTTTACCTCATTACCGTGCTCATATATTACGTATTTGTTCATGGCCTGATAGTCTTCAGCCTAAAAGTTGTCGACTGAAAAAATTAGATACAAGATCTGTACTTCCTGTTGAGGTGGAGAGAGCCGCCCAGTGTCTTCAACGAGAAAAGGTAACTATGGGGGAACTTGTTAATCGTATGCGTTTTTTATCTTTATTAATTGAAGCAGAGAAACGAATCGCACTACATAATGAAATTCGTCGTAGAGGTTTTATTATTCAAGATACTCTTCTTCAATTAACTGTTGAAAATGTCGTCACACGATGTTCAACTCAATTGTTGGCTCTTGTAGATGTAAGTGCGGCATCACATTTGGTACGTCGCCTTATGAGTGGTAAATGTCGTTTGTGTAGTATTAGTGATGAGAATTCTATGATAAATGATGAAAATATGTATGATAATATTATGGATGATACCCATACAGAGACAGAAACATCACAGTTAGCCTCTACATTAAGTCTCTCACTCTCTCGTCCTTATACAGCAACTCTTAATAACCCTAAGAAGGCAACCATTGCGGCTTTTTGTAAAGATTGGTCAAGAGATGTTTTTCGTCGTGCTATGACTTCACTCGATCATCGCATATGTGAACTCCTTCTTAGCATTGCACACTCACTGGGTGAGGAGCTTACAGTAATGGATGTGGATCGCTTGAACAAACTTTGGTTTACCCAAGTCGCCAAGGTTGATAGCTGCAAGTTTTATGAGCAAGATAAGTATAAAAAATCTACTAGCAAAATTGAAAAACTTTTTTTCTCTCCAACTAAGATTGAAACACCATCTCAGAAAATCAACAAGGTGAGCAAGATAGAGAAGAAGGAAGAAGAAGAGGAGGAGGAGGAAGAAGCCCGAGATGAAGACATGATGATGGTGCATATTGAAGTAGACTCCAGTCATCAAAACTTAAATGGTATGCGGGTAGAGAGTGAAACTGATATTGATGTTATATCATTGCGTAATGTTTCCCCAATTTCTCAGCGTGTGGTATCAGATCAAAGAAATCTCGTTCCGATAAAAGAATTACATGAATTTGCTTCTGCTGCATTGGAAGAGGATTATATTTCTCATAATAATCATCATCAAGTAAAAAATAATAGTTTTATGCCGTTGAAACTTGAAGAAGTAGAAGAGCGAAACAGTGATAGAGCATCTCTCTTTTTACCTCGGGAAGCTCCTGTACCTTTTCCTCCTCCTCCTCCTCCTCCTATAAAGAAAAAGATATCGGAACAAGAGCAGATTAATTTACTTAATCATCATATAAAACAGCGTATCTTTCTTAAATGGAAATCATTGTTATGGAAAAAGCAACAGGAGAATCTGTGTACAAAATTCATTCAACAGCGTCTTGAAAATCTTCTTTTGTATTCATTCCCTACCTCACATGCTATTTCCAGTATGATGCAAATGCTTCCTCGGATCGAGAAAAAACGAGTGATATTTCGCTTCTGGTATGAGCAAGCAAGATTATCGTATGCCCCTAGATCTTTCCGTCTAGGACAGTTACTTATGCGCTGGCGCTGGCGTACATATGAAAAGCAAAATATTAACCTTCTTACTATAAATAGACGTGCAAGAACTCTTAAAAATGTCTGGAAGCGTTGGTGTGAGGCACTTCAGAATCGTACTGCACATACGAATTGTGATTCAATAATAAATCATACAAACATCATAGAAAAAAATACCAATAGTGTACCACAGTATTCATTGCTTTTGCATAGTGGTTGTGTTGGAAACCCATCATTGTCTGGTAAAATTCTTTCTAAAGAAACACGAGTATCGTTTGAAGAATGGTCAGAGTCTAAGGGTGCAACAGATGTAACCCAAGGTCTCACATGTAGTACGAAACCTTCTGCAGAGGCTGTGGGCGAGATAAGGATTCTTCAACAAGTGGAACAAACACCTGGTGTTGCTGCTTGTTTATCTTTACCGATGGTGACACCTATAGCGGAGACATCTCCTCCCATACGAATGCCTTTGTTATGTGAGAAGGCAACCCAAACAATGGCGTTACCATCTTATGATGATCTCGCCGCAGAATACAAGGCTGCTATTCTTGCTGAAGCAGATGAAGCCGTTGCGGCAATACAGGCGGATCGTTTACGTTTGGTAGACAGAGTTATCACATTGGAACAGCGAGTAAATGAAGAATGTGTACGTGTGAAGCACCGAGAAGAAGAGATTGAGAATCTTAAAGAAAAACTTGCCGCCATGACAATACGCGAGGAATGTATGAAGTCTGGTCTTGAAGACTACAATCGAGAAATTGAACATCTTAGAGCTGTCGTACAGGCTTTACGAGAAGAAAGGAGGGAATTACTTAGACCTCTTGTGAGATAAATTTCAATACATAGAAAAAATGGGATATTGGAAGGTGGGCACTTTTTTTTTTTTTTTCTTAACTACATTTTCGTAGTAGCAAAAGTTGGTGTTACATTACGGAGTTGTTGTTGTTTTTGTTGTTGCTTCTTCATGAGTATAACGATACCCATTTATATATTGTTCCTTTTGTTATTTGTTTTTTTTTCTATATGTAGTGAATTTTTTGTTTTTTCTTTCTTTCTTTCTTTCTTTCATTCATTCCTTTCTCTTTGTTTCTTATCATTTATTTTTTCTCTGAAAGAGTACGTTTCTCTTTCCCAAGGAAAGATGTTTGGTGGTGGTGAAGAATACTTTCGTGAGCCTCCGTCAATAGACCGTGATACTTTACGTCGTTTTGCAGTCTTCTGTGCCCGCTTACGTGTAGTGGAAAAACCAGGAAAAAAGACTGTTACAGAAGCCTCACGGCTTGCGCGAGAAGTAGGTGATAGTGAAACTGCCTTTGAACTCGTTGTTGGGGTACTTCTTCGCCATATCAAGTCATGGACTGGTAACAAACAATTGACATGTTGGTATATTCTTGATAAACTATGCAAAGAGGAACGTGATAAATATGGCTATACAGCTAGTAAATATATTCTTGATGTGGGTCGGGACTATATACCATATGAAGATCCAGTTCTTGGACCTAAATATGAAAGTCTTGTAGAACATTGGGAAGGTGTATTTCCACGACATGTAGTGGATGCTCTTTGGTTAGCGAAAAAAGACCGTTTATGGGCATTGGCACACCCTGATGAAGTACTTCAACAAAAAGAAGAGGAAGAACGACAATGGAAACAAGAAGAAATGTTTTTAGAGGATGAAGATGGTTTAAATGATTATGGTCAACCTTGTATGGATTATCTACAAGGTCGTTGTTTTTGGGGTGATGCATGTAAGTTATATCATCCACCAGGTGAAGAAGGAAGTCTACCGCTTGAGTGTCGTCTGGGAGATTGGAAGTGTCCATCATGCGGTGCTATCAATCGGCACTTTCAACGTCGTTGCTCTAATTGTATTAGAGAAAAACCACAATATAAGAAGGGACGAAAACAAACGGCAGAAGAACTTTTGCTCTCATCACCAGATCCCAATGTTTATGTGGCTCTCCGGCGGCAATTTGGATATGATCCTAATGATGTGGAAGATACAGTAGCTCATTGGAAAGCTCGTTTGGGTGATACAAGTATTGAATCATATAAAGAAGAAAGACGTGCGGCTTATCGAGTACGTATTCTCGGAAAGGCACCAACATCTGAATTGGAAGAACGTATGCGATCACAGAAGAATTACCCTGATATTGATATGGGTCCACCTGAAGATGATGATACCACAGAAGCAGATGGTGTACCAGCACGTGTAATGATGCAATCTTTGGTTCCTGCAGGTACATCCTCTGTGGGTGCTGTTGCTCTCCTTTCACAAACAATTGTTGAACGTGGGGCTCGGGATCCCAAACTGCCGCAAATACTTCACGAACTCGCACGGTATATGAAGGAAGTTGCAGCAAATACGAATCTTCAACTGTCACCAATACAAGGTGAGACATTACTGACAGCTTGTAAAATTGTCTTTTCAGCATGGGGTGCAGATCGTGCAGCTAAATCTTTTGTACCACCCTTTTTTAGGGAATTACGTCACATAGAGGGCGAGTTAGGGCTCTCTGTAGAACTACGTGATCAACTGATCTCCATCACGAGGGAATTCCGAACAAACTGACGATTTCAAATGATAAAAGAAAAGGGGGTGTTTAGGATATCCCTGAAATCGTAGAGATAACGTGCTGCTCAAACGAGTAAAATTTCAGCAATCAATGAATCTCTCTCACTCTTTACATACTCTCACATGGGTCTGAACCTTTTTTTTTTTTGGAAAGGGGTTAACAGCATGAAAAAGAAAAATGAATTACGTATATATTTCTACTTATATATATATGTGTGTGTGAGGCGTTTGTACGAACTGACACCATTATATGATAACCTAGAATGTCTTTAAGAAGAAAAAAAAAAAGCAATTGAAATGTCTATATGTTTCTCTCTTTATTTCTTATTATCCTTTTTTTTTGTTTTTGTTTTTTTCGTTGTTCTTTCCCTTTTCTTTTTACTCCGTTGCAGAAAAGCTCTCAAACCGCTCGACGTTCTTTCGTTAGAAAAGAAAAAAAATAATAGTTAATATTACCAATAACACTACACTACATTCTTTCGCCAAAATGACAACAGTTCTTATGGTTGAATCTCGGTTCTTCGGAGCCGTTAACAAGTCAAAGGACAACAAGCTTGCCACCACACCGGAGGTGAGTGAGAGTCAATCTCAACAAGATAACTCTATGATTGTTGCCGTTGAGAAGGAAATTATGGAAAAACTCGAAAAGGATATTGGTGCTAAGGTTATCTACCTCCCTATAAATAATGAACCACGCTCCACTCGTGCCTTTTTCGATGGAAAGACAGACTGTCTCTTTGTGAATGAATCCATCTCTGCTCACCACTTCACTGATAATCAAGGTAAAATTACCCGTCGTGTTGTAATTCTTTACCCTATGGGAAAGGGTCGCCGCGGGGAATTGCCAAAGGCTCAACTGGTTAACAAGCTCACCAAGACAGTACAACAGAGTGAAGATGCTGGACTGGAGCTTCTGGACCTGCGTGACCTTGAGGCTAAGGGTAAGGTCCTGGAAGGTTTGGGTGCTCTGAACTTTTCCTACAATGGTAAATTCGTTTATATGGCACTGTCTGGACGAAGCAATGAAGAGGTTCTCGATATCATCTGCAGTAAGGAAAACTTAAACATTCCTGAGGAAAACCGTTTCGTTTTCACAGCTGTACTTCCCCGTCTTCCTAACGCTGATGGAGTTGTCACTGGTGAAGACGTTATTACCCACACCAGCCTTGTTGGATGGTGCGGAAAGGGAATCTGTGCCTGGGGCTTTGAATTCCTCCGCTTCCCCTCTGAAGAGAAGCAGGAGGCGTTCTACCACCACCTTGAAGTAACTTATCAAAAGATGCTCAACCTCAACGCTGAGGAAATTCGTGCCTTTGTCGGTAATGCTTATGAATTGGCCTACCGCGTTGGTGATGAGGAGCGCCATGTGCTCTGTATTTCCGACTCCGCAATGAAAGCCCTGCAGCGTCGCAACCTGAAGGCCCTTGAAGAGTGGTACGGCCGCGAGAACATCATCATCTTCTACGCCGACGTTGTCCAGCGCCGTGCGGGGAAGTCTGTGCGCGCCCTCATCTCCGCCCCCGTCACACACGGCGAGGTCCTCCCAGCACCGGGGCAGAAGTCCGCTCTTGAGGTTGCCCACGTGGACGTGATGGATGTCTCCGCTGCTACCTTCCGCCGATGAATAAGTCGCGTATAGAGAGACAGAGAGAGAGAGAGAGAGAGAGTGTGTGTGTGAATGAACGAGAAAGATAAAGAAAAGAAGAAGGTAGAAGGTAGAAGGAGAATTTACGTTTTTTTTTTTCCTGTATTTATGTATTAATAAAACGAAGGGTAACAAGAACATCAAGAATGAAGAGAAAAAAGATAGCAAAAGAAAAATACGTCTTTAAATGGCCCCACGTACAACGTGTACACACACCAAATGTTCACCTGTTGCCATAAGCTATTTTATTTGGTTTGTTTCTGTGGAAAAGAGAAATGAAAAAAGAAAAATAAATTAATAAAGGATTTTGAAAGAAGTGAAAATTAGAGCGCAAAGAATACGTAATAGTTTTTTTTTCCTGTTCTCTTTGTTCTTCTTACACACGCTCGAGAGAAGGCAAAACGATTCTACTTTGAATAATGTATTTCGATTTTTCTATCTTGTGCATAGGTGTAGAAATGCGTGGCTGGCACTCTATGTAACTGTATTTTTGAGTGTGTCCATTTTTTTTTTCTTTTTTCTTTACACATTTATGTGTGTTTTTATTTATACATATATCTGTTACTACATGTCTCATTAAGTGTCTTTTTTTTTTCTCTCTTTTCTTCAGAAATAGTAATTGTGTGTAGGGATTATGTCAGTAAGTCCCCTAGATGATATTGTAGAGATCAGTAGACGCTGTGAATCTCTTCGCCAGTCATTGGCCAACGCAGATGATGATTTTAAAACTATTCCTAGTAAAAAATACTTATACTTGTGTAAAGTAAGTGGAGAGAAACCAAATTCCACGTTTCTCTGCTTTAGTGAAGGTACACATGGAGGTAACTTGGATTTACATTGCTCATATCTTAGTCAACGAGCGTTATTGCCTATTCTCTTGACACTTCCGTTGTGTCCTTGGCTTTCCCATATTAACTTGCGTGAAGAGAGACTCACGACGACACTTATTCAACTCCTTTGTATGTCTCTGCAAGACCTTCCACGTGTGAGGACAATTGACGTGTCAGGAAATCCTTTTGGTTCTTATGGTGTGCGAACACTTCTTACACTTGTAATGCGTAATCGTAGCATTGTGGATTGTCGTGTTGACGGTGTACAATGCGTTGGGGCATTACTGCGACGCTTGTACATGGCATGCGAACGAAACAAGATGGAAACTGTAGAATCGAAAGAGGCATCACTGAATTCATCAGATTCATCTACAGTATCTTCACACACCGTGTAAAGGAATTTGAATGAGAGAAGAAATGATATTATGTGACGTTAGTTTTCTGAAAATGTAAAATATACCTTGCTTTTTTTTCCAATTTTTTTTTGTTTCTACAAGAGCATAAATACATGCTCGTAATGGTATTTAAAAACAAAAGAAAGTGAATATGAGGGATAAGAAAAGTGAGAAAATGTAATAAGTTGTTAAATTTCTACAAATGTTTTCGTTCTAGTATTCTAATGAACACATATTTCTTTCGGATTGATTTTTATTTTATTTTTATCTCTCTTCCTTAGGGGGAAAACTTGTTGTGTACACAAGTATAACGTGATAACAAAAAGAGTTGTATATATATATATATATATTTTTTTTTTTGAAGTTAGACATTTGATGAGGAGACTCTCTCTATTCAGCAGAAGGTATCTCTTAGTAACAGTACCATTAGCTACTTTGAGATCAACTGATGTGTCTTCTTCTTTTCGTATCTGCAGCAGGAACCATTCAATAACTACAGATAGATGCACATTAGAAGAACTTCATAGGTCTGCTGCAGAATTCTTTGAACGTGGTGATTTTGTTAATGCGATTAAGCAATGGGAAGCGGTAATGAAATCACAAGGTGAGACTGATAGCCCTAGCCCAACATTAATGAACTGTTTAAATAATCTAGCCTGTGCCTATGGTGAGATTGGGCATCAGAAGAAAAAACTACAATTACTTGAACGTTCACGTGATATGGTAAGTAAAGTTTATGGTAACGATCACCCTCAGTATGGAATGGTTTTGTATAATATGGCTTGTGCTCATGAAGAAATGGGAAACTTTCAAAAAATGGAAGATCTACTCTTAGAATCACTCGCTATTCATGAACTTAAATTTCATCCAAAACACCCAAAGGTTGGACGTGTTTTACTTCTTCTCACAGAAGCTCATGGTCATCTTGGGAAGTATGAAGAACAATTAAAGGTAGCAAAAAGAGCTTTTGAAATTGTACAACGACATTGCGGACCAGAGCATACACAAACTACTATAGCTATGTTAACTCTTGCAAGGGCTTATGGTGCAAATGGTAATCAAGCTAGACGTCTACAACTCGCACAACAGTCATACGATATTCAAGAGAAAAAGTTGGGAGCCATGAACCCACAAATCGCATTAACGCTTATAGAATTAGCAGATTCTCATGGTGCAAATGGAAATCATTTTCATAGAAAAGAATTATTAGAAAAATCTATTGAGATTCAAAAACGAGCCTTTGGTACTCAACACACCCATCTCATTACAACTTATACAGCTTTAGGAGATGCTTGTGGAGAATTAGGTGACAAAGAAAATCAATCTTTCTGGTATTGTGAAGCTTTAGATCTTGCACGACGACGATATAAAGGAAAACATATTGCTATTGGAACTGCTGCTAATAAATGTGCATGGGGTCTTTTGCGTATTGGAAAAGTAAAAGAGGCAAAATCTTTAGCAGAAGAAGCCCAAGAAATTTTTGATGGCAATGTATCAGACGATCATCCAGCTGCCATTGAACTTCGCAACACCTTCAATGAATTAATGAAGGTCACTATTGGAAAAGAGTCTCTGTGAAAAATGTTCTCCTACGTCATATTTAGTATATATATATATATATATATATATATATATATATATTCCTATCATTACCTGTTTAGAGGTGTATTGGTTTATCACTAAAATAAATTGATTTGTGTTTTTTCTATTCTTATTGTTCTTATTATTATTTTAATACTTTTTTTTTAATATTTTTCATACTTTTATTTTTATTTTTTACCTCTAAACTCCTTGACTACTATTATTATATATAGGACTAATAGAAAAGAAAAGTGTGTGGGAACGATGTCCGGAATAAAGATTGAGGAGGTCATCTCAACAACCAAAAGACAGCGTGTGGCGGCCCACAGTCACGTCAAGGGACTTGGACTGGATGCCGATGGTGTTGCAAAGCCATCGGGTGATGGATTTGTGGGCCAAGTGAAGGCACGCGAGGCGGCCGGTCTCGTTGTGGAACTCACGCGCTCAAAGAAGATGGCCGGTCGCGCTCTTCTCTTTGCTGGACCACCGGGAACTGGTAAGACGGCTCTGGCACTCGGTATTGCGAAGGAGTTGGGGCCTAAAGTGCCCTTCTGTCCGATGGTCGGCAGTGAGGTGTATAGTGCGGAGGTAAAGAAGACAGAAGTGCTGATGGAAAACTTCCGACGTGCGATTGGGTTAAGGATTAAAGAGCAGAAGGAGGTTTACGAAGGAGAAGTGACAGAGTTGCGGGCAGAGGAGACAGACAACCCATTGGGAGGTTATGGCAAGTCTATTTCTCACGTAATTGTTACACTCAAGTCAGTGAAGGGATCCAAGCAGCTTAAGTTAGATGCGGCCATCTATGAAAGCCTAGAAAAGGAAAAGGTATCTGTTGGTGATGTTATTTATATTGAAAGCAGTACCGGTGCTGTCAAACGAGTGGGTCGATCAGATGCATACATTGGAGACCACGATTTGGAGGCGGATGAGTACGTTCCTCTTCCAAAGGGTGATGTTCACAAGAAAAAAGAAATTATTCAAGATGTAACACTGCATGATCTTGATTCTGCTAATGCCAAACCTAATCAAGGACAAGATGCACTTTCAATTGTGAATAGTTTAATGAAACAAAAAAAGACGGAGATTACAGAAAAACTTCGACATGAAATTAATAAGGTTGTTAATAAATATATTGATCAAGGAGTAGCAGAATTGGTACCTGGTGTTTTATTTATTGATGAAGTACATATGTTGGATATTGAATGTTTCACTTTCTTAAATAAAGCACTGGAATCTACACTTGCTCCTGTGGTAATTTTTGCCACTAACAGAGGCAGTTGTCGTATAAGAGGAACAGATGTTCGATCTCCTCATGGTATTCCTACAGATCTTCTTGATCGACTTCTTATTGTCCGTACAACTAATTACAGTATTGAAGAAATTGTTTCCATCGTTGACATTCGTGCACAAGTGGAAGGTGTAAAAGTTTCCGATGCATCTCTAGAACTTCTTGGTCAAATTGGAGAACGTACTTCACTCCGTTATGTGGCGCAACTACTAACACCGGCACTTATTATTGCCGAGACAAATGGACGCTCTGTTATTGAAGAAGAGGATGTGATGCTAGTTGATGGATTATTTAAGGATGCCAAAGCTTCTGCTCAGCTTCTTCATGAACACGCAGACGATTACGTGTATCAGTAGAAAAATGAAAAAGGGATGAAATGGAGAAAGAGGTATGGGAAGTGGGAAATGTTCATTCTGAGTCACAGCAATAAAATGGTGTATAACTCTTTATGAAGGGAAATATCCCACAACTAGAATTAAAATGAAAATGAAAAAGAAATATTACTGCCCCACATTATTATTATTATTATTATTATTATTATTTATTCTTTCTTTCTTTCTTTTTTATTTTTAAAAAAAAAAAGATGGAAAATAATGAACGGCATAAGAAGAAAGAAAAAAAGAAAAGAAGAAAAGAAACAGTAAAGTTACTACCGTGACACTGTAAAAAAAAAAAACTGTTTCCTGTTTTACTTCACTTTTGAATCCCATATATGTATTTCTCTTTCCCTATTCTTCTTTTTTCTTTCATTTCTTTTCATTTCATTCTCACGGTTTGACTTGTGTAGGTGTGTGAGTTCACCCTACCCCTACCTCCCCTCCCTTCTTTCTCCCTCTCCCTCTTTATTCCCCAAGGGGAATACGAGGAAAAAAAAAACCATCATCCTCATTGTTATTATTGATCATAGCAATAGCACTCACTCACACACATAGGGAGATAGAGAGAGAGAGATAGTAGTTGTAGTAGTAAGAGACGGACTGGTATGGAGTTCCTCGCCTTCGACGGCCCTCCCCGGCGGTATTACTGCGGGGATGCGGCCACCAGTCGACGGGTTTGGCCGCTGCTCGTCACCCGCCGACTGCCGGCGGCCCGTCCGTTCTGCCGGTGGGCGGCACGCGGGGGGGCGGCGGTGCACTGCGGCCTGCGGCTGCGGCTCCACGCCGGGCGGGGGTGTTGTCTCGCCGCCACCCGCGAGATTCCCGCCGGCCGCCCGCTCGCGTCGATCCCCACACGACTCGCCCCCACCGCCTGCAACGCCGCGGACACGCGAGAGACACTCGCCGCCGTCCTCGCACGGGAGCTCCACAACCCACACAGTCCACATCGGCCATACCTGGAGTTTCTGCATGATATCTATAATACAGATATATATGACCGGCATAGCTCATTGCAGGAAGAGTTAGATACGCTTTACATGGGGAATGCTATGAGTGCGAAAGGGGTAGAAAATGCACCATTTATTACAAAAAATACCCTCGTGACTCCCTCACAACGAGTTGAGTGGATTCGTCTACATTCTATGTTAAGGCAAATAGAACAGAGTTTACCACATTTTGCCTCCAAATCTGCTTCATGGGGAATGTCCATGACTCTTTCTCGGTCTATTTATGATGATAATGGAGGTCTAAATTTATACCCTATTATTGATTTTTCTCTTCATAGTTTTGAACCAAACTCAGTGATTCGAATAACTAACCCAAGAAATGTTCAAGATAAAGGGATTGGCTTAAAATGGCACGATTCCAAGCAACCGTGTGTTCATCTCTTTTCAACGCGTACTATATCGGCAGGTGAACCTATAACTATTCTTTATAGTCCACGTCGTGTGAAAACAACAGAGGATGCTGAATATTGGAAACTAAGGTGGGGTTATGTACCTAACTGAATGAACACTGCAGAGAAATATATACATTACACACGCACAAGATGGCTATTTTTTTTTGTTTATCTTCTTGAATTTTTTGGTGTTGATTTTTTTTTTTTTTTTCGTTTTTTCCTATACATCTGCTTAGTTCACAGAAACCGTTTTACCGGTTCCTCTATTAAAAATTTTTTACTCAAAAAAAAAAAAACAATACATACATTCTTTTATTGTTTTTTTTAGAGTGAAAAAAAGAAAATAGAAATGATGTGAGTAAGGGTAAAGTGATCTTATTTTAAGTGTGTTTATAATACATGGTGTTGTGTGTTATCTCTTGTGATTTCCATGTAATATTTTCTTTCTGTATTTATTTTCTCTTTTAAGAAAGAAAAAAGGAACATAAATGCAACGTACATCATTTGAAGTCTCTATTGACCCATCCCGAACCGATGCGTTTGTAAGGGTATCGGCTAATTACATTAACAGTAATTTAATTCCTTATTTTGGTGGTAATTTACCCCCAGTAGTACCCCTCTGCCTTTCAGATGGGAAAAAAAACGTTTATGTTGGATGTTTAACTCATCAACCACATAACCTTCAACCATTTAAATTGCTTATTTCTATTGCTTTAAGTGAAGATATTGGATTACAAGATGGTAAATTTGTGCAGTGTATTCCAGTATATAATCCCATAAGGGCAAGTAAAGTTTTGGTCTCACCTACCTCAGTAGATGATAGCGAGGTGGTTGAGCAAAATGCTTCCCGTATTGAAGGACAGCTTCTACGTCAAGTTCAGGTAGTATACCCTGGAATGACTCTTAGTGTTGCTGTTTTTTCAGGTGTTCATGCAAAAGTAACCGTTCAGAAAATTGAAGATGAAAATGGTCAAGAAATTACGTCTAACTGTGCTGTTATGTTTGATGGAACCGAATTTGTAATAGCCACTAGAGCGAGACAAATCATTCAGAATGAAACGCCAAAATGGACTGTTTTACGATCTATAACACATAATTATTATGAAAAAAAGATTTCTAATGTAAAAATGGAAGCTTTCTTTTACGTAAATTCTGTAACAGCTAAACGGTATAATTGGAGTGAAGGAAATATTGTTGGTTTTTGGGATCTTGCACGAATGTCAAAACTTATTGAATCTAAACAACTTACTCCATCTTTCTTCCGATCAAACGCCTGGAAGGCACCTATTCGTTTAACAGAAACATTACCTGATGGCGTCTGCTTATGTATGGTATTTGATCGTGCTACTAATGTAGTTGTTTTTCCTAATCCTGATGAAGCTATACCTAACATAACAGAAAAAGATACTACTCATGGTGATTTTAATTTTTACCCTGAAAATACATTGAAGTATGAAGAAATTGTAAAAGTTCATGAAGATGCATCAAGGGAACTTTTACAACATTTGAAAAATTGGTTTGGAAATGGTAATGGATCTAATTCTAACCACAATTTCTATGGAAATAATGGTAACATATTACTTTGTGGTGCAAAAGGATATGGTAAAACAGCTATTCTTGGTGCAGTCTTAAATCAGTTATGTGATGTTCATGTTTGTTTTGTTCAGTGCTCTTCAAGTACTAAACTTTTATCATTACTACAAGAAGCATTAATTGAGTGTGTAATGTGTGCCCCTTCTGTACTAGTCTTGGATAATTTTGATGCTATCGCACCTTTGCAAAAAGAAGGTTCTCTTTCTGCTATTAGTGGTACGACGAAATCTATGTTAGAGGAGACACTTAGATGTTTTACAGAAACACTTACACTTAGTGGTCGGAGTTCTGTAGTTGTTATTGCAAAATGTGGAAATCGTGAAGATGTTCACGAATCTCTTCGTTCTGCAAGTTGTTTTCCTAAAGTAATTAAAGTTGAGGCACTAAATCGTAAAACACGTATGGCTTTATTACAACAATTATTTCCAAATGAATCTACAGAAATGGTAGAAGAACTTGGTACTTTAATGGATAACTATACACCCTTTGATATTAAGAAAGTCTCAGCACGTATCAAAAGTTCTTTCAAGGATGGAAAAATTCCATCTTTAACATCAATAAAAGAAACTATAGCTTCTTTTACTCCATTATCTCATACTGGAATTACATTTCTAAAAGGAGAAAAACAGTCATTAAATTCTATTGGTGGACTTTCTGTGGCTAAGAAAGTCTTGTATGATACCTTGGTATTACCAATGAAAAATCCTGCTCTATTTTCTCGTTTACCATTAAAAACTCGAAGTGGTGTTCTCCTTTATGGACCCCCAGGTTGTGGTAAAACTTTTGTAGTAGAGTCTATAGTAAATGCTGAAGACTTACATTGTATCGTAGTTAATGGTCCAGAGATTTTTGGAAAATACATTGGTCAAAGTGAACAGAAAATTCGTGATATTTTCGAAAGAGCTCAAGCAGCTGCACCATGTGTCATTTTCTTTGATGAATTTGACTCTGTTGCACCTCAACGTGGAGTAGATAATTCAGGAGTTACTGATCGAGTTGTAAATCAGTTACTTTGTTATCTTGATGGAGTAGAAGGAAGAAAAGATGTTTATGTGGTGGCCGCTTCTAGTCGACCTGATTTAATTGATGCAGCTTTACTTCGACCAGGTAGATTAGATAAACTCGTACAATGTCCTCTTCCTTCACTGGAGGAAAGATTGGAAATATTAAATAATTCTTTTAAAAAAACTTCAGCGAACTTAACCCAAGACGAAATTGAAACTATTGCGAAAGAAACTGAGAATTGGACCCCAGCTGATTTAGTCGGTTTGGTGTCTTCAGCTAATTTATTTGTGACTCGTCGTGTAATTGATAAACTCTCTTTGGGAGAAACAATGGAAGTGTCATCCGAAGCTAATTTTGCTCTGGCAAATATTGGTAGTGGAACTACACGAGAGAAAATTGAGGATTCACTGAAAACGTTACTTGGTATTACGAAACAGAAACAAAATATTGATGTTGTCACACAGATTGTAATGGGAGATGTAAGAAGCGCTATGGAATTAGCTCGTCCCTCTCTTTCTCAAAAGGAGATTTTAAAATACGAAAGAATTCATCATCTCTTTAGTGGAGAAAATAAAGGGGAGAAGAGAACGGAGATGGGGAAAAAGCTAGTTTTCCAGTAATTAAATGATATTGCTGAAATCAGTGGAAGAGGGTAGAAAAGAAGAAAAGGTAAACGTTGTAATGGACACTCTGATTCTATATCTTACTCTGTGCGCTTCTCTGTGTCTCTTTCCTCAATATATATATATATATATATATATATATATATATATGTCTGTGTGTGGGTGTGTGTGTTTTTCTTTACTTGGAGTGTATCTGTTCGTAATTGTGTACTTGTATGGTAATGATAAAATACACATTTATTTGAAGTATACCTGCAGTACGTTTTTTCCTATTTGTTTTCACCTACTCCGTGTGTGTGTGTGGCCGTGTGAATGTGTGTGGTTGAGGCACGGTTGACATTTGCAAAATGGTGGTTTCTTGGGTTCATGAATTAGTCTTTTAACTCCATATCATGCACTACGATACTCTTTTTTTTTTCTTTGTTTCTTGTAGATCTGCTGTTTAAGAGCTGCAAAGCAAGCAAACCTATATATCCATTATACACGACTGTGATACAATGACCCGACAGATGCATGTCTCACTGTTTCTCCTGCTGCTGTTGTTTCTATTTGTACAGTTGTGCAGCACGAGTGGAATCCTCGCTGCGCCGTCGGCTGGAGTTGTGCGGGAGGTGCCCCTTAAGGGACAGGGCGCATCGCAGGCGTACACCGTCGCCACGGAGAACCGAAAGTTTATCCGCATTCGTGCCTTCTATGAGGACTTGACCAATGATAAGTACTGCACTGCGGTCGGAGAATTGATCAAAGACTTTGAGGGCAATGATGTTGAGTGCTACGCTAATGATGTTTTTACCGAGGAAGACATATCCAAATATATCGACACAATTATTCCTGCTGCCATTAAACTACACGAGGATCGTCTGCTCGTTGATCCTGTGGATGGTCCGTTGATTGTTCCTGAGTTTGAAGAGAACAATGTTTGCAATAACATTACTGTTCCTGAGGACCACCATTCTAAGGGTGTCAATGATGCTGACATGGTACTCTATGTGTCTGCCAGACCTGTGTATGACATTTATGTCATCTGCGCTAGAAATGATGATGGCCGACCGATTGCCGGAGCGATAAACATCCTCCCATTTGCAAAAAAGTCTCAACGGTATAATGTTCGTATTATGGCACACGAGATTGCGCATGTACTTGGATTTGACTATAATGTGTTTAAGAACTATAGTATGGTGGATGAGATCAACTTTGACGATGGAAGAAAGCGCATGCTGGTGAAATCAAGCAAAACGAAGGAGAAGGTACAGGAACACTATGGTTGTAACACAGCTCAGGGCATGGAATTGGAGTATGAAAAATATGGAAATGGGAAAACAGTTTCATCACACTGGAACTATCGTGTCGCAAAGGATGATCTAATGAGCTCTCAGTTTACCGTTAGCGGTATGTACTATAGCGCTCTGACGATGTCTGTGTTTGATGATCTACCATATTATTCTGCCAATTGGGGAATGGAAGAGCCGATGGCATGGGGCAATAAATCCAATTGTGATTTGCTTGATAATAATTTTGAAAATGCATTCGTTGGAAAATATCCCACCATGTTTTGTAGTATTGGAAAACCGTACTCATGCACAACTGATCGCAGTGCAGTTGGCTACTGCATTCCCGAATCGAGATACACTGACTCCGATGGCAATGAGATCAATGCTGCTTTTGTGAGAAGTGAGTTGTATAATTCAGCTAATACTGGAAGTATGTCGTGCTCTGATAAAGTAACATCCGATATTCCAGGATCGATCTTTGACAATGATTCATTCTGTTTGGATACAGAAGAATACACAAGAGTTGTTGGACAAGATACATTGTCTTTCACTGGTGTGTGTGCACGGGTGTCATGTGATGGGGGTAAAGTGAAAGTGATGTACGCTGGCGATAACAAATGGTACGACTGTCCCGAGGGAAACTTACTGGTGCCAACATCGACATCTTCATTCGTAAGCGGGAAAATCATGTGTCCCAAGTACAACGAGGTCTGCACCGTCGCCCCTGACGGCAGCAGTCGCCGCCCGATGATTTACCCGCCAGGGTATGAACATCCCACTGAGTCTCCTGGCCAAGGTGGGGATGGGTGTGTTGCACCTGCTCTCCTTGCTCCAGTGGTACTTTTTGTGATGACCCTCGCTCTCTCACTTCTCTTCTGAGGCGGTAATGGTAATATCAGCAGAGCATGCATAGACTCATGTACAACTATATCAAAGTATACAATTTTAATCTTGTGCTTGCTCAGACGCAGCATTAAGTTATACTTTCTTTTCTTTTTTTTCTCTTTTACACTTAATACTGCTATATACTCTTTGTTTTTATGTTCCTGTGGTTGCGTGAATTCCATACACTTCAGTTTCCCTACCCTTCATCGATAAATGGCACCACACGGTTTTTCTGCTCTTTATTTCTCTTCTCATACCTGATTTTGTTTTTATGTTCCTCGAAATTATACACTCTTTATATCCTTTAATGATTTGTGGGGTTTGCAATAAAATACTGACTTGTCTGTAAATTTTTTGTTCGGGTCAGTGTGATTGGCACCCTTAGAGTAAGTATACTGCGGTCAATAAACCTTTTGTTTCTATGGGTGATGTCAGAAGTAAGCGGTGGGTAGGTGTCTTTCCCTGTTGCTGTTTTTGTAACTTGTGTAAATGGTGGGCAGACTATTGTCTCTCCCATGCTTGCTCTGCATCTTAATGATGGTGTTCTCTCTCCTCCTTGCTTTGTGTCTGTGTATCTTTGTAGTCTCTTGGGAGCGTGATGGAATGCTGCTGTTGCGGTGTGGATCCCGAGAGGGTGTTTCTTGCGGTAACGCCGTCTGCGTCTATCCACAATTGTTTTTAGTGCCCTGTCGAGGTGGGCCGTGGCGTGGGTCGGGGTGATGGGTCTGTGGGGATGCTGGCGGGGGAATGGTATGCTACTGTTCCTTCATGTGTGTATGTATGTATGTCGCTGTGAATTGGCTGCGCAGACCCTTCCACAATGGTGTGGCATACCGCTTTCTTGGGGGATCGGCGTATGTAGTGCACTGTTTGCTCTTGCCACCCCCAATGGTGGTGTGACTTTTGTGCGGTCGTCAGTGTGCGCTGCCGGGGCATGGGTCCTCTCTCCATGCACGTGGTGTGTGTGCACTCTTGCTGTGCGGCACAGTGCCGTCCGCGTGCTGCGAGTGAATTTGGTCTGCAGGGGTCGCTGGCGGTATCTGAAACGGAAGCTGCCTCGTTGCGTTGCTTGCATGCTGGTGTGTCTGTGGGTGTGAGGTGATGGTTTCCACACTTGAGGCTGTGCGTGGTGTGATGTATGCGCAGAAGCGGTGTGTCTGTGTGTGTGTGTAACCGTGTGGTTGGTGCGGTGTGCTGCCGCCTCTATCGGCTAACTGCTGCTGAGGGGGATGCGGTTGGAATTGCGGAAGGGTGTGCGCTGCACAGGATTGGCTCTCCCGCCTGCTTTGGCACTGTGGGGTGGGGACGCAGTGACTGCGTACCTGAGTGTTCACCCATCTGTGGTACCACTGTATATACCATACACTAATATTCTTTCTCTTTTATGTTCTTCTCCTTTCCATTTTTATGTTCCCTTCTTTGCTTCTTGTAGATCTGCTGTTTAAAGGCTACAAGGCAAGCAAACCTATATATCCATTATACACGACTGTGAGACAATGACCCGACAGATGCATGTCTCGCTGTTTCTCCTGCTGCTGTTGTGTCTATTTGTACAGTTGTGCAGCACGAGTGGAATCCTCGCTGCGCCGTCGGCTGGAGTTGTGCAGGAGGTGCCCCTTAAGGGACAGAGTGGTGTGCAGGCGTACACTGTCTCTACGGGGTACCGCCATCTGATCCGCATTGTGACGTCAACCAAGGATCTGGAAAACAAGAGAAAGTACTGCAGCGCGGAGGGGATGCCTATCTGGGACTTTGATGGCAATGTCATCAAATGCCACAACTACCATGTCCTGAAGACAGAGGATGTGCAGTACCTGAAGAATGAAATCCTTCCGGCAGCTGTGAAATTGCACGCGGATCGTTTGCGCGTTGACCCTGTGAAGGGTTCGTTGGTTGTTCCTGAGTTTGAAGAGGAGAGTACTTGCAGTTACTTCACTGTTCCCGTTTCTCATCACTGCAAGGGTGTCAATAATTCTGACATGGTCCTCTATGTTGCAGCGAAACCTGTGAACCCTTTTGCTACTATTTGCGCTAATGCTAGCTCTGGTCGTCCCATTGCTGCCGCAATGAACTTCCGTGTCTACAGGAAGTATGGACTACGGTACAATGTTCGTCTTGCCACACATGAGATTGCCCATGCACTTGGATTTGACTACCAGAATTTTGTGGATAACAAGATGGTATCAACGCTGGAAAATCTGCGCGGCAAGAGTCGTGTGGTGGTTGTCTCTCCCCGAACGCTGGAAGAAGCAAAGAAACACTACGGTTGTGGAAACCTTAAGGGTGTGCACTTGGTTTCCTCGCACTGGGACCATCGAATTGCGAAGGATGAGCTGATGAGCAGCTACACTGTATTCGGTGCCGGCTACTACACTGCCTTGACGATGTCTGTGTTTGATGATCTACCATATTATTCTGCCAATTGGGGAATGGAAGAGCCGATGGCATGGGGCAACAACTCTGGTTGTGAATTCATTAACGGTGCATGCACCGTCAACACAGAGAATACAAAGACAACTACAAAAATGTTCTGCAGTAGAGGAGTTTATTCCCAGTGCACATCTGATCGTTTCGCCGTTGGGAGCTGCACGTCAGTCATGGGGTATAGAGTGTATACTGAACCAGATGAATGCCCGTTTGCGAAACCGGAACATATCTACACACCTCATGGAATGCTTTCCGCTCTCTGTACCCTTACGGTGAACAATACTATTCCTGGGTCGGTGACGGGCAATGACTCGTGGTGCCTCGATGGGGATTCGCTCAAGGTGAAGGTGAAGGGAAATGCCAATAAGGTTGTGGGAGGCGTGTGTGTACGGGTGTCATGTGATGAGGGTAAAGTGAAAGTGATGTACGCTGGCAACGACAAATGGCACGACTGTCCCGAAGGAGGCTCCATTACGCCACTGGCGAGCACATCGACGTCATTTGTAAGCGGGAAAATCAAGTGCCCCAAGTACAGAGAGGTGTGCACCATGACACCAGATGGTGGCAGTCGTCTGATCCCCAAAACTTCTGAACAGAAGCAATAATCAACACAAGCGTAACTACACCTTCTATATACTTCCGTCAAAACCAGCACCACATGCCCCATCTTCAGTGGCAGTAAAAGGATTTCCTGAAATTGAAGCCCGGACCACTGTTACTGACCGTGGGGGGATACCGGCATTCATCCTGGTAATGGGTCGTCGCTGTCTGGAAAGGAGAATTCTTACCTCTCCGCAGGTGCCAGGGGTGTGGAGGGGCTTGCGATTTGTGCGGGTGTGGATGGCACTCCTGCTGCTTTGGCTGTGCCTCTGTTGAAGTATCCTCAAGGTGCGGACCCAGACGGCAAGGTCAAAGGGCGTCTCCTCGCCTTTATTCTGATGGTGATACGCTCTCTGAGCTTTCCATTATACTAAATTTCATAAAGGGAAATATCTGCTGTGTGATTTTGCTCGAAAATGCGCACATTGAATACATCTGTATTGCATGATGCTGCGGTTTCTTTTTATTTGGGAAAAGGTATTTGTAGGGTATAAAGTTTTGAGGACGAAATTTTTTTTTTGAAAATAAAGAATGGAAATAAAAAAAACATCTTTTTTGCCTTTTGCAAATGACATGGCACTACGTCTGTAGTTGCCTTGGGGATTGGAACTTTCTTCTTTTTTTTACAGTCATTTCTTTTTATATATATACAGCTTCGGCATTGGACGATGAGTTTCATTGCTGTTTGTATATATGTGTGATGATGATGGTCTGAGTGAAATGTTTTGGTGGGGGAAAAAAAAACTAATGCATAAAAAGGGAACCCTCTACTTTTAGCCATCATATAATGTGTATTGGTTGTTTCTGTTTTGTCTTTGTAGGTTGTAGCTGCGGATCTCTTTCTTGGCAGGGATTATAACCTCTTCTATTCCCTCTTTCGCTTTTTCAGATAAGGGTGAGTGCAAGAAAGAAAACAAAAACAAAAAAATGCAGTGGTTTTTTTTTTTTGCATGTGTGTGTGTATGCCTGTGTCTGAATTGAAAGCGCTGGCCCTTGTGAGATGGGGGACATGCTGCCTGTTTGAGATTGATACTTTATGTAGTGCGAGGCAATGTCATCCATGTGTTTTGTGTGCGTACTGTTGTGTATTGGAGTTTTGTTGTTGCGCCACTCCAAGGCAGCTTTGGAAAAGTGACCCTGTGGATTCTCACTCTTTTAATCCTTTTTTTTTTCCATTTTTTCCGCCAACGCCCACGCAATAAAACCTCCCCTCTGCCCTGAAGGTTTTTCCTTCCACTATTTTAAACGGTATTTCCCCATCTCGTTCTTGGAAGCGACGGTGCTGCGTGCAAGACGCCTTTTTTTTTCTTCTTCGTGTTTTTATGAATATTACTCCAATGGTAGGGCTGTCAGCCGTACACCGTAAAGCACTTTAATTACTGACTTAGGAGTGGCTCCGAAGAGGAAGAAGATCCCTTCATTTTATAGGATCCACAAGCTCTTGTAATATGATTTTTGTTGTAGCCCGTTACCTTACGAGAGAACCAGTCTACGAGAAATCTGATCGAGTGAACCTTACCAGATCTCTCTATTCTCACTTTTCTTACTCAGAACCCATCCTCAAGTCTCCTTTTTGTTATTTTTTTGTTATAGATTGGCCTCAATGAATTCCCATTTATTTTGTTGTTTGTTTTGTTCGGCGACAGACGTCTTGAGCGTACTCTTCTATCAGGGTTTCCATATTCGAGCTCGTCGCTGATTTTAGAGAGGTGTGGGAGGTAGGTCGCGTAGGGTTATCTCTTGGTTGTGAAGTCTGTGGCATAGTGTAGTTCCGCTCCACCACAATAAGGAATTTTGCTAACCACTTAGAAAAACATAGTTTCTTCAGGGGTATATCTTCAACGATCGCAAATTGAACTCGCAGTGGATAAAGAGCGGTGCAACTCAAGAAATGCAGAGCTGTTTCTCCGCATACGTTACGTTGGCTGGTGTGCACGTGAGTAGGTTGATACCCGTGTCGTGACATGCAGTGTAGAGTTAGGCCTGATTTACTCATACACACTGACGACCACATGAGGGGCAGACTAATGCCGGAAGGTCTCGTGTTTTCGTTTGCTTGTATCGTGCATTGGTAGTGTTCCTTGTTCATGGTGACGCGTGCCACCGAGTAAAAGGTGCGGTTGCATGGGGCCACACCATGTCATGAGGGGAACGGGGAAGGGTCATCTTTGCGGAATGCCTTTCAAACCCATCTTCACCAGCGTTGAAGTAGGGAAAGCAAGAGTTTTCCACTATGCCCAATCCCACTCATTTTATAAGTGAAACACCCCCGGGAGCCTCCCCACCCCTCCCTCTTCTTGTTGCGCACAAGGCGCTGGCAAGTTGGCCGCCCGCCTTGGGTTGTAGGGGTTGTGTTCTCCTCCTCTCCCTTCTTCGGGTGGGGGATAAAAAAAAAGAAAGGGGCAAAACCCGACAACGAGCCTCGAGCATTGCGCACGTAGACTGGTTGCCGGGTTTCATCCTTTTTTTTCCTCATCCTCACTCTCTTCTTTTTCTCTCAAGTTCAAAGTCCCTGAGCATGATATTTCAGGCCTCAAGGTTCAGCGCCTCGGGACGTAAAGTGCCCCTCGAGCCCCGCCGAAGCGAAGCATGCCGCTCACACACAAACCCCACAGAGGCCGCAGTGGAGTGGTCCAGCAACACAACGGTGTCCTTCCCACTCAATGACAGTCTCACATTCTCATGTCTGAGAGGCACTACGGCATTCACTAAAATGTACACGGAGTCACACACCTGCAGAGAGGAACAGAAAACACAAGAGCAGCAGAGAAAGAAGAACAACTACAGGATACCAACAGCAGCAGAAGCCGCCATGGTATACCCGCAGGCGATGCATAGCAGAACGGCCAACACACACATCACACGGTGCATCATCATCATTCCTTTTTTTTTTCTTGTTGTCTTCCTTGTCACCTGAGTTCACAGGTCTATGCAGAGAGTGTGGAAAAGAAGGAAAAACGGAGAGAGAAAGAGAGTGGATACAGGAAACATATACTCACAGTGAGAGAGAGAGAGAGAAGCAACTGCAACAGCAGAGTACAGTAGTAGAAAAGGAATATCCCCTTTGTGAGATGATGCAGACCCCCCAAAAAACAGTATATACAGAAAAAAAAAGTACACAAATCCAAAACAAAAGGGTCAAATACCAAAACTCCAAGTGTATATTGTTGTACAACAGTCTGGGTTTATTAATCACAGGTATAAACGTATATTTGTGATACATACGATATATACGTGGTCAGTGAGCAGATAAGAACACACAGGGTCTCTGCACATGACCAAAGACAAGAAATTTAATGAGAGAAAGGTAAAAAAAAAAAAGTGCAAAATAAAAAAAAAGGAAGTTTAATACAATTAAAATAAACCTCCAAGTATATAGCGAATTACTGTACTTGACTACGGAAGTAGCGATAATATATATATGGCTAAATTATTATTAGTATCTTTTTAAGTGCTTCCGTCAATCAAACGAATTCCCCTCAGTACACCGTTTTACAATACCAACGCAGCCACAATCAGCAGAGGTGCTGCAGTGCGCATCCACACAGGGCTGAAACTGCTGTCAGCATCGCCCGGCTTCTGCTCGTCGTTGCTTGGTGCATTAGTGGAAGTGGGTTCTTGTGTTGATGGTTTGTCGGTGTTCTCAGGAGCAGGGGTTTCTTTGTTATCCCCATCTTGGTTTCCATTGTCTTCATCAGGTTTTTCGGGATCAAGAGTAGGGTCGGTTACGTCTGGGCTTTCATTGTCTTCTTCAGGTTTCTCAGGATCAGGTGTGGGGTCAGTTCCATCTGGGAGAGTTTGGTCTGGCAGTTCTTCTGGATCCTTGGGAGGTCCTTCTGAATCTGGATCTTCTTCTTTCTCTTCTTCATCTTCCTTCAAATCTGGGTTCTCCACTTGGTCTTCTCGTTTTTCTGGCAGATCTTTTGAGTCTGGTTCTTCTCTGACCGAAATGCTCTTATTGTCCTTAACCTCAGCAGAAGCCGCCATGGCATACCCGCAGGCGATGCACAGCAGAACGGCCAACACACACATCACACGGTTCATCTTCATCATCGTGAGAGAAAAAAATAGTTTGGTTTGCGTAAAAACACTGATCTAGAAAAACAAAATAAAAAAGAGAGAGAGTACACATCACAACAGCAATCAAACAACACAACCCAATGAGGGGAACAACAATAAACCACTCACCCAATAAAACACACCCAGAGTTACACAGATATTAAAACAACACCTTGAATTTAGAAGAAGTGGAAAACAAATGGTATCAAAACAATATTAAATAAACGTCTCTACACACTCCAATATCTTACCCGGTATTCATACACAAACATAGTGTCTGTATTCTCATTATAATAAAACCATTACCAGGCAGTTTGAACACCAAAAATACAGTGTACGCCTGACAACATACAAAAACAATACCACAAATCAATCAGCAAAACAAAGAGACTGTACAACAATCAACACACACTTCCAAACGGGAAAAAGAAAAAGAAACCAATGCATTACCATAATATTTATACCAACACCACAATTGGAATCCAAAACCCACTCACTCACAACCATAAACAAAATTAACTGCCTACATCACTGTAATACCATGCCACTCTTTACAAACAGAGGCAACACACAATTACTCTCTCTCACACAAACATATTACCTTTTTATTTTTCTCTCACGATGCCACTTCCCTTATTCTTTTCCAACAAAACATTATCAGCAAAAAAAAAACAACACATCCCCTCAATGTACAAGAGGAAGGTACGATCACACATATCCCCTTCCACCCCCCACCCTACCCTACTTCTCTTCGTTTTTCTCATAGAACGAAACATCTTTTCATCAATCTGATGGTAAGTCGATTGATGAAAAATCTCCTCCCGTTGGATTCGAACCAACGACCTGTAGGTTAACAGCCTAACGCGCTGCCGACTGCGCCAGGGAGGACACGGTTCTGGTTAATGTTATTTAAAGGATAAATATTATTTTCATTTCTAAGAAAAAAATAGATTGAGGTATTTTTTTCTTTTTTTTTTTTTCCAAAGGTGTAATACTTTTTCTAATTTCGGGTTTGATCATAACCTTCTGTAGCTCAATTGGTAGAGCATGTGACTGTAGATATTAAGCAGGTATCACAGGGTCGCTGGTTCGATTCCGGCCGGAAGGATTGTTTTTTGGTTTCTGTAGTCTTTTACTAGGGTATTATCGATGATGAAAATGAGTTTTCTTTCCAATTTTCACACTGTGTCCAACCGTAAGTTTCTGTAAAGACCGTCTAACCCAAACCAGACGGCCACGAGCGGAAGGCGTGTTAAAACGAGTTTCCTTGGTAAGGATGTGGTACCAAGGTTAAGTACTTGAATTTATTCAAGGAAACCAAATGCACTCACTAAATTTTTGAAGGAGGTGGTCTCCTTAAAAACCAAATTCTTTTTATTTTTCTTTTCAATACATGTGTTCTTCGGAATGCTATCCCCTTGGTGGCGTTTGGCCATCGAAAGGTAGGGCCATTGCCCATTATCCCTTATTCTCGCGGGGGAAGCCATGGGCCAGTAAACTCTATAGAAAGAGTTTACTGGTTCATAAGCTCCAAACGCGTCATACAGCACTGGGGCCAGCAGAGTCGTGCTGAGACAAAACTTTATCCAAGATGGTCCTGTGTGGCGTGCCGGCGTGTCGTCAGCAGAAGCTTCTTTTACATATTTCACCTTAGTGTGAATGCTGCTAAAAAAAAGGAGTGTCAGGGACCATAGAGATAGTAACAATTATGTCCTCCAGTGGTGGAAATTGGATTGGCCACTTTCATAATAATTCAAACGTGTCAACTGTAAACTTATGTGTGGGAACCTTTCAACTTTCTTTTCTTTACTTTTATATGGGTTATGGTTTCCCTTTCTGAAGAGCAGGACCCTTTTTCTTAAGCTAGTCCCAAGAAAGAAGTTTTATCTGAATCCTTTTCCAAAGAAACGCAGAGGTATTTTTCCTTCAAACCACCACTCAGCAGAAAACCAAACACGGTTAATAATACGAAGAATGTTTCAGTTATTTGGAAAAGATAAATCGCCAAAAAAAAAAAAAGTTAGAAAGTAAGAAATGGTGAGAAAAGTGACAAGAGTGGGGTTCGAACCCACGCCTCCGAAGAGAAGAGAACTTGAGTCTCCCGCCTTAGACCACTCGGCCATCTTGCCCATGGTCAGGAATTTCATTTAGAAGAATTGGATATTTTTAGTTTTTGTATTATCTAATTTTTTAAAATCATTGGAAAAGACTTTGCGTAAATTCTACTATGTTTTTTTTTTTTTTGTAATCCAAATAATTTATTAGTTCCATATTATGTGAACTCTAAGAAGAAAAAAAAAAAAAAACAAAATGTTTTTCGATGGTGCATGCGAAAAACCAAGGCCACTGCGAGAATCGAACTCGCGACCCCCACTTTACGAGAGTGGTGCACTGCCACTGTGCTAAGCAGCCGATGTCTTAAGACTCATAAAATAAAATAAAAACACTATTAATTATTTTTTTATTATAATATTTTTTATTTCTTTATAAATAATTTAGTATTTGGTTGATGGAGCCTTGTTACCATTGTGTACAAGGACATCCACAATCTGGAAATTCTACAGAGAAGATTAGCACTCTCCCTGCGCAAGGCTGATGTCAATCTTCGAGAGATATAGCTTTTTCTCAAAGTAAAGAAAAAATGAATTTTTAAAAGTTATAATAATTCTTTATTTAAAAGACATTTTGTACGTCGGCCGCTTGGTCTAGTGGTATGATTCCTGTTTCGGGTACAGGAGGTCACGGGTTCAATTCCCGTAGCGGCCCATGTTTTTTCCCGCTCACCCACTCTTGCGAGTGAGGTTTTTTTGATTTGGACGAATACCTTTATTGTATTTTTATTTCTGTTCGGCGTGTCCTTTGCTCGTAACCCCGCCCTCTCCCTCCCTCTTCCCTTTTCCCCCACACCCCCAATAAAAGAGGGAAAGGAATTTATTGGTGGTGAGCGTGTCTCTCTTGGGGCCTTTGGCGATTTCTTTATTTTCATTTTTTTTTTTTTTTTTTTTGGATCCTCCTTCCACTTCTTTGCGGTCCCTGCTTGGGATTCTTGGGGTTGGTGCTGGGGGGCCGTCGCCGCCACGCATTTGGTGTGACGGTTGGTTTTCAACGGGTTCCTTCGTTTATCTGTGTTGGTCGGTTCGGCTGGGGGTTTGGAACGGTGTGGTTTCGTTTTTTTTTTTTATTCTGGGGTGGATCGGTGCGGGGCATGAGTGCTGATGACGAGCTGTGTGGGGAAGTATGGGGGGTAGAGATGATTTTGTTTTATTCTTCATTTCTCTTTTCATGGGGTTTAAGTTCTCCGTTGCTCTTTTTATTTTTTATTTCTCTTGGGAGAGAGAGAGAGAGAGAAAGGTTGTGTCGTTTTTTTTTTTTTCTGTATCTGGTATAAGTTGCTTTTATATTTCACTTTTTGTTTTTGTTTTAAACCTCCTTCTTCTCATCTTGTGGTTTTCTAATTTCTTACACTTCTTTGAAGCCAAAACAATAATAGTATACATATATATAAAAAAAAGGTTAGCAATGAGTTCAGAAGGTGATAACAATACTTCTATTCCAGATTTGGAAGAATTATATAATCTTAGTGGGACTATAGTGGATGATCCTTCTCTTCTAAATCATAACATTCGAAAGATTTGCGCGCTTCTCGGAACTCAACACCATGAAAAGGCTGATCAAATGCTTGGAATGATGATACTGCTTCATTCAACACGAATGGTTTCAACATCATGGACTGTTCTACTTCAATGTTTACGAGAATCTTTAGAAATTCAAGTTCAATTGTCTCTTATACGTCAGTTTGCAAATATTGTTAATCGTATTATAGTATCTCAACGAAGTAATGCTTTTAGAGTCTTTGCTAAAGAAGTTTTAAATTTACTTGATTCTTTGGATTTTGTTGTTACCAACCATTCATTCCTTTTAAATTTTCGTGTAATACTAGAATCTCTTGGAAGTTATGGGGAAAAACATCTTTCACAAGCTATTTTAGATAAATTATTACAACATATTATCTACTGTGAACGAACAGAAGTACGTCGAGCAGCTGCACTTTTGGCAGCAGAATTAATCGCAAATACCCCTCATTGTGGAACTTTTTCAAACATGTTAGATACTATAGAAATGAAAAGTGATGTATTAGGAAGTTGTATCACCTTGGATGCATGTTTACCTCTTTTAATAGATCAAGCCAAAAAACTTTCCCTTAATCCTACTCTATATCAAACTGTTTTACATGCTAAAACCTGTATAAATAAATGGATGTTATCTTTATTGGTAGAAGATCCAATTCGTCATTTAATTATACCGGTTATTGTTTCATGTTATGAAAAAGTAAAACTTTTTGACCCTTTATGGTTATTGCCTTCATATGATAAAATTTTTAAAAAGGTAATTATGACTTTATCGCAACAAGAGATCAAAACTATTTTAATATCTCCTTTACTCAACCTTCTTCAGTTTTTAAAACCACAAGAAGAACATGAAATTGAAGTTATTTGGCATTTGACATCTCATAAAGATCCTATGATTCGGTATAGTTCTTTATGTTGTTTATCAACCAGAGTGCATATTATGAAATACAATCTTGCAAAAGATTTATTAACTCGTACTATAAATCTTCATGAAAAATATATGACTATAAAATGTGGTTATACAGTCTCTGGATTACTTGTATTCATAACTGCATTATCCTTAACTACATATCAAAAAGATTCAAAAAAGTTTTTAAAAGTTTTACGTTCACATTTTGATTTAACAAATCCTCTGAATTCTATTCCTTCTGTACAAATTGAGGTACTTTATTTAATTGAAAAGTTACCTGATTTTTGTATGAGATCATTTTCCTTTGTTTTACAATCGTTACTAGAAACTGACTCAAGACTTCGTAAAACTGCTTTTACTGTTTTAATAAAATGGTGTGAAGAGTTTGTTTTGGATAGTGTAATGTTTACTATACCCTACTTTCGGGGGACTGATTTTATAGAAGGAACTTTTTCTACAAGGTTAAAATTTCAAAAAAAAGAAAAAAGTTGGTTATATCAGTCTCAAAATTTGGTATTTTTAATTTTATACTTGTTAGAAAAGTTACAATTCGAAATAGGAAATTCTTCTAGGGAACGTTATCAAATTATTCAATCTATTTGTGAAGGATTATTGAATTTAACTAGTTTAACTATATGTAACTATTCTTTAAGTAATAGATTACTTGAAGAAACCTTTTACCGAGCTTTTATAGCTTTAAAAGATTTATTGCTTTCAACAGAGACTTTTCCTTTTGATATTTATATCTCTGTGATTTCTACAACTTTTTCCTGTTTAAGGAAATGTAAAAGTGAGAATTGTTTTGATATATTTGTACACAAAGAACTCTTTGACTATATATGGAGTGTTATTTATTTGTGTTGTAAAGCAATTGATCAAGTTTCAGTACCACATTTACATGAAGAGCATTCAATTTATCTTATGAGAAAAGAATTATCAGAAGATTTTAAAAAAATGATTCTTTCTTCAGCTTATTCTAGACTTACTAATATACGAAACTATCGTGATGCTCATATTTTTCATCTTATTGAACAATTAACTGAACTTTTTATAGAGTTAATTCATTTTGGAAATTGTTCAACGATTTTTATTTTTCAAATGAGTCAATTATATCCATACATACTTTCTTGCTTTGATATTCTTGTGGCGTCAAATCCTATTGTTTCGTTAAAAGTATGTCGATCCCTTTTTGAACTTTTATTTTGTAATAATGTAATAAGTGATGAAAGTATACAGTATGAAACTGAAACAAAGTTTGATTATACAGGATTTCTCTCTTTAACTGTTAAAATATTAACAAAAAGTCTTGCTTTTGATTTGCTCTTTATTGGTGATGAACTATTTAAATTTATTAAACTATTGATTCAAAGAGATAAAGTTATTGCTAATAAAAAGTACTACCTTGCACTGGATACAAATTTTTCACTTGTAAGGCGAATGTTTTCTATTGTAACAGATAAAAACTACTATAATGTTGTACGAGGGGTAACTATAGTTGAACCAATTTTAGGTATATTGGAATTACTTCTTTCTTCACCATATGTTTCCCTTGTTAAGGAAATAGGAGGAAGAAATGAATGTTTAAAAGTATTGACAATAATTGATGAAACTAGTAAAGAGCTTCAAAGTGATAAGTTTAAAAATTGCAGAGATATTGTACTACATATGTTGGTATTTTATAGTGAAAATGATAATGAAGACATTTTACAAATGCTTACAAATTGTAGTAACTTATTTAAACAAAAATGGGAAAATAGTGAGGATTTTCTGTCTGAGTTTTATAAATTTTGTGAATATATTCTTCTTTGTGATTCCATAGATTCTATCTTGGATTTACTTCTACAACAAGAAGAGTCAATTGCTTCAGCTATTTGTCTATGTATTTTAGATCCATTTTATATTTATCGTTTAGTTGAATTTATTCTAAAAACAGAATGTGAAACATTTATATTAGAACTTGTTTTGGTTATTATTTCAAATATTGAAGATGATGTAAATGTGAAAGATGCTCACTTAGTAGTTAATGAGAGTATTCTCGGTTTAAATGATGATCTTATTGCACATATTGTAGATGCCTTTCGTTGGGGATGGGTAGAATGTGAAGAATCACTCATAGTAGTACAAATTATCACAGACACACGGTATAATTTTTCACTTCGTAGAGCATTTTATGATGCTGCAAAAAGGACTTTTTTACACTTTCCTTCATACTTCATGGAAAATTCAGACTTTTTATATGTGGCCTTATCTTCTTTTCCCCAAGTAATTCCAACAAGATTTACAGAGGAAATCCAGAAGATTCCTTTCTTAAGACTATTTTGTGAAACTATAGGTTTTCGTAATATGAATTTATTGAATTTTAATTTAGAAAGAGAGTCTATAGATATTTCAAGTAAAACAAAAAAAGAGGAATTCTTTACCTTAATTTCCGGGTTACCTTTTTTTACATCTGGTCTTTCAGAATCACCGACATTATTTTTAAAATTTCTAGGTACGAAATCTGTTACTATAAGAGAATTACTTGAATGTATCCACCCAAAGCATGTAGAAAGTCTTATATCTACTATGGGAGAATATGGTTTGCTTAATTTATTGGAATTTGTTGACATAATTGAATTAACGAAACTATGCATAAGAGGTAATTTAACATCATTACATTTTAACTCTGTAACTATTTACTCTTTGTTAAAAAGAATTCTTGAGATATTATCAATAGAATCGGAAAATATGGAATTAGATGTATATCTTAGATATTCTTCTATGTTTTTACTAGTTCTTGTAGCCCCTGACAAGGATCATGGATGGGATAAAATTCTAAATAATGAAGACTTAACAGACGAATTCATTCCTTTTAAAATGTTACTCTTGTCTATTATAAATAAATGTTTAGAATTATCTTTAATAGATATAAAATCAATCGTAAGGTATGTTGTATCTATTTTTATTCATTCATCATCTAATATAAATCACGGAATTTTTGAATCTATACTTTGGTTAGTAGTAAAATGCTGTATATATTCTGTGTGGGAAGTAATTATAGGAGAAGAGATATGTCAAACATATGATTTGTCATGTCTTAAATTTCTCTGCAAATTAAATCAAACTGTTGGATTTCCATCTCAACTTATGGAAGAGATGCATGCCCGATATACACCACAACTTTTATCTTTTGGTAATTCTCGTCAACTTGATGGAGATGAACAACGTTTCATATTTTGGATTATAACAAGTTTATTATTACATACAATTATATCAGAAGAACGTCATTCAAAACCTAAGACACATATGAGTTTAACAGATATATTATATCAATATGATGATTTTCCTTTAGAATTAATGTCTTCTGAATCAACTTCAAGAATAAAATTTATTTTTAATGATTCCTTATTTTCAACTTATGCACAGATTCCGATTCTCTCAAGTCAACGACATTGGAATATTCATACTATTGGATATCTTCTTCCATTATGTGGACGTTATACACCTTTAAAAGAAGTAAGTAAAAAAATTTCTGCATCACTTATTCATTTATACCTTCACGTAATTTCATCTGTTATTACTGAAGCATTAAAGTTTCCTACTTATTGTATATCAGATGTCTTTTTTTCTTTAATGACTCTTTCGGCAGGAAATATTTATCTCTTGAGACATTCTCAAGCATATGAAGGTACAGTTGCGTCAAATATTCTTTCAATCCTTTTTGTATGGTATCGTGATTATGCAGCTTCTTTTATTGATAACGCTTATATTCAATGTAATGTTCTTCGTTTTCATGTGGGTTTACTTCCTTATTTTGGTATGTCACCGTTACTATTTGATGTATTAGATACAGTTGCATGTACAACAATTATGTTGAGTTTATTTACAACAGGAGATGAAAAAATAAATGGGTATATGGATCCTATATCAATTCTTTCAAAAATAATTAAAATGGATATATTTTCTTATATGGGTGCTCTTACAGCTATGATTATAATGTCTGGCGCATCTACGCATAAAGAAGTTGAACCAGTAGCTTTTTTACTATCACGTCGTTTTTTTGATGATTTAGAATCAACTTCTTGGGGTTGTTTATCATTTAACTTTGGAATTTTACAAATGATACGTAGTGCATGTAGCATTCTTTCTCTTCTTCCAGATGATCATCTTTCTATAAAAATATGTGAAGCTCTTTGGAATGGAGTTCTCAGTAAAACGTATGGACGTAGAATTCAACACTATACATACTATACACTACAATGTATTGGTCACGTAACAACTGTAGGTCAAACACAATGGCGTACATTACGAGCTCTCTTAAGTGGTAAACCAAATTACAAGGAACAAGATAAACCAACTTTAATTCTTGGAGTAGAATTAAAAAATAATGTTATGGAAGATTTAAAAGGTTTAAATACCTTTATAGCTCCCATACGAGAAGTACCACTTTTATTTCAATTTTCACCTTACGCTTTGCAACTTCAAAAAGAAAGAAATAAACTTTTTATTATTGAAACTTCAGCTTCATTAATTTTACGAAGTGCTTACAGTGATATTCAGAGAGAAGAATTGGATTACAATAGTATTCAGGTGATGACTTATTTGAATACTATTCATGATACTCCATCTTATACTAATGGAATTGCCTTAATTATTGTTAGTGAACTTTTATCTAAAATATTTGAACAAGAAGATGCACTATTTCTTGCATTAAATAAATTTGATTTTACTATTTCTTCTAAACGTCTTCTTTTGTATGAGTTTCATAAAATGTCTGAGAGAGTTATAAAGGAAAATAAACAAGAAGAATCTCGTTGGGATGTCATTGCAGATGCAACACGGCTTTTATTTGAGGCTTCACTGGGAAAAGAATGTATAGAATTGTCTTCGTGGTGGTGGTTGATTTGTGTTATGCTAAACAGCTTTCTTGGTATAAAAGAACCTGAATTTTCTCGCCTAATTACAATAATCCTGACACAACCTCTTAGTATTTTCACTGAAAAAACCTTAGCAATAAATATAACTTCTTATCTTTTAGAAATAATGGACTGTAAGTCAAGGCTAAGATTTTTTTTTAGAGAATTAAAAGAACTTTGTGTTGATCGATCTTCAAAAAAACTTTTGACCAATTCTGTAACAGACATTATCACTACCTTGCTGCAAAGTATCCCTCCGTGAGTGGAAACTATAGTTGTAGTTCTCGCTTTTTGGTTTTTTTTTTTTTTTTTTTTTTTTTTTTTTTTTTTTTTTTTTTTTTTTTTTGGACCATTCATTTCATGATGAGAGGGGTATTGACTTAAATAAGAAAGAATAATAAAAATAAAATTGTGTTACCTTTTTTTTTTTTCGTTTCTTGGAGGCTGGGAGGAAAGAATCTGTATTCAATCAGAGGGTAATATAATGTGATGGGTCATAAGTTGTTGAAAAGACTATCTTTCCCATTCATTATTTTCTCTGACTCTAAAAATACATACTGAAAGAAAAAATCATGAATGGTTAAAGTTTTTACTTTTTTTCTTTCTCTTACTGTTTTAACCTCTTTCTTTCTTTCCACTCTACGTAAAGGTAGAGGAAACCCTTCGGAACCCTATACTTCAGTAACTCATACTGAGTGGGTAAGTGCCATGGACAAGTTTCAACAGAGGGATTGATTTTTTTTTGTTTTTTTTTTCATTGATTGGTGCGGATTGCTTATGTAAAAGGGTATATTGAATAAAATATTTTTCAGTGATTTATTATTATTTTTTTTGTTGCAGTAATTTGGGTCAAATCGGAAAAATATATTCTTTCTCTTTCTCTTTTTCGTATAATGTAGATAAATGGTTGAGAAAGTTTCTCGTTCTATTGGTGAGTCTTTTTTAGAAAACAATGATGCATCTTCATTAACAGATGTCCTCATTCCATTGTCTCGAGTATTGAGTAGAGAATTCGATTGTCAACATTGCCGTCAACTTCGTTTACGAATAGCTCACTTGGAGCGTGAACTGGAGTCAGCACGTGCTCGGGAGGTAAAACAAAGGGATGAGTTGCGACGCTTTAGATACGCTGCAGGTGTACAAAAATGCAAACAAGAGTTAAAGGAGAGTGTTCCCTAAAATGCTTATATTACAATACGAAAACATCAAGATAAATAGACACACACACGCACACACAAAAGAAAAAAAACCGTGATTACCTGTAAGAGTTTTCTTTTCTTTTTGTCATGGTTTTTCTTTTGCGGCCCCCTTTTTTTTTTATTTTTCTCATCTTTGTTTTGTTTTCATTTTTTTACAAGAAGAAAGAACAAAAAAAGAGACATTACATTTTTTTTTTTGATTGATAGAAACAACAAAAAAGCGAGAATAGTTTACTTGTGATCATGAAGGTCTCCTCAAAGGAGCAGGATTCGTTTGGTTTATACTTTACCCGTGCAATTGTAGTAGCGCTTCTTGGGATTGTAACATATGTTACAGTGGCATACTGTTTTCATGTGTACTATGATAGAGAATCTGCATTCCGAGATGCATTGGCCTGCTCTACGCGTGTATTGGACGAACACAATATAATATTTTGGTTACAGAACGGTACTCTTCTTGGATCCAGACGACTAGGGAGATTGATACTTTGGGATGCTGATCTTGATATTGGATATAAAAAGATTCCTAGTAGAGAAAATACCCTTACCATGATGCAAGAGCTAGATTCCAGATGCTTTGGCTTTTCTTCAAGTATTCGCTCAGGTGCTCAGAATCAAATAAATATTTACCGTAAATGTACCAAACGAATTTGCGCAGAATTTCATGAAACAGTTATAGAAAATGGAATTGTGACTTCTGGCGATGGTCATTCTCCGGAAAAGGAACTGTTTCCTCTTGAAATATGCACAGTTGCCGATGTTGTAGCTAAGTGCCCACACAATGCGCCGTTTTACTTGATGGAAGCATATGGTAGTGAATGGTTGACTCGATCGCTTTCAAAGTTATTCTGGGGTTAATGACATCCTGCATATTGACATTCTAAACTATTATGCTCATTATTATTATTTATTTATTTATTTATTTATTTATTTTTTCTATTGTTATATGGAAACATAATATTTTCTGATAATATGATGTTGATGGTTTTCTTTTTCTTTTTTTTTCTTATTCCTTTTTGATTTGTATATATATATATATATATATGTATTTGTTCGAAAAAATAATAATTAACAAAGCTTTTCAAATGTCAAAAAAAGATGTTGTTTGGCTTGGGACACCAGTGAAGGCTGCGGGTACAGACTTTTCCTCTGTTTACACTTCGAAAATAGGTGGATCAGCTATTCTGTTTCGGGAATTGTCGGATAGCAGTGTATTTCAGTGTCCAAAATGCAAAAGTAATCGTGCAGTGTCATTACTGACACAAATTTATGCCCCCTTAGAAGTTTACGATAGAATAATCTACGTTTTTCTTTGTGCTACCTGTAGCAAAGAACAAAGTAGCTTTTGTTTTGTTCTTAGATCGCAAAACTTTAATCCTTCCTACGTAACAGTTCCATCAACTGTTGATGATGCAGAAGAAGTAAAAGAAGGAGCTCTTTTTGAGGAAAACGGTGATTGGGGGGATGATGAAAATGAATCATCTGAAAAGGTTAATGGGGAGGAGTATGCTGTGTGTAATGCTCCAGTTGGTGTTAATACTACTACTACTACTACTACTAATTCCACCGACAAAGAGGAAGAAGATAGTAACGAAAAAAGAAAAGAAAAATTGAATATTGATGATGTTCACACTCTTGAAGTACCTTCTACTCTCGCTTCTCCTGGATCAAAGGCAGAAGTAGAGGGTTTCTGCTACCCATGTTTTGCCCTTGACGTTTTTGAGGAACCCCCAAAAGTGAAAGTTAAGTGTGCAACTATAAATGATCAATTGCGTGAGGTGAAGCAGAAATATGGTGATGATGTTGTAGAGACCACAACAATGGATGAAGATGATGAACCATTACATGAGAAACGTCTTCGAAAGTATGTTGAAAGAATTGGAAGGGTTCCTTCGCAGTGTATTCGATGGGCTCCAAATCAAGAGCCATTGAGGTCCTCTGTCACTCCAATTGCTGTGCCTAATTGCCCTCAATGTGGTAGTGTGCGCCGATACGAACTTCAACTTACTTCACCTATCATTTATTATCTTGTTAAAGCGAAAGATGAGAAAAAACATCCTTTACATTTTGGAAATGTTTTGGTATTTACATGTAGTGGTAATTGTAATTCAAAGTCGTATGCACAGGAGTACTGTGTGGTTGAAAAGGAAATTTAAATACTTCCCTTTATCATTTGTAATATCCTTCTTCGGTAGAGGATAAACAATTACTCGAGTAAGTAGTAAACCTTATATTTCAACAACAAGAAGAAAAATATGTTACTATTTTATTTATTATTATTATTATTATTATTATTATTATTATTATTATTATTATTATTATTATTATTATTATTATTATTTTTGACGTGGGTCATTATTATTAAAATCTAATAGGATATTACCTTGATTTCTTTCTTATTTTCCTTTTTAATATTTTAATTTAGATTGAAGCTGATGGATCGAAGTATATTTGAAGCAATTGATCAACATGATCATGAGGCACTGCGAACAGAGTTTGGTTCAATAGATGTAAATAAAACAAACTCTGAAGGATATACTCCACTGTACTACGCATGTATGAAGAAAGGAGTAGGGGTTAAAACAGTTAAGGAGCTTCTTCTTCTTGGCGCGGAGGTGAACTTGAAAGGTTCAGATAATGAGACTCCTCTCTATATTGCTTGTTTTAATGGAAAAAACGATGTTGCATTGGTCCTTCTTGATGAAGGTGCAGATATTGATGCAAGAAACGGAAAATACGGTGAGACAGCTCTTCATGTAGCTGCTCATACAGGAAATTGCGCTCTAATTGATATTCTTGTTGAACGAGCCGCAGGTTTAAATGCCCAAAATACAAAAAAAGAGACTCCTTTATATATTGCCGCGAAAGGTGGATATCACAATGCTGTGTACCATCTTTTGAAGGCTGGTGCAAATGCCAATATTTGCGATATTGATGGCAAAAGTCCACTGTATATTGCTTCAGAAAAAGGTTTGAAGCATGTAGTTATTCTCTTAAAAAGCAACCGCGATGATCTTGCTTTCGCAAAGGCGAAAGCTGATCAAGAGCTGCGGTTACACCCACTACCAGTAAAATCTACTGAGGAAATATATGAAGAGGCTGCAGAGGATGCTGCTGCTGGTCGTCCTATCCAACATATTTCTATTCAACCAGAGCCAGAAAGGGTAACAAGACCAATGGACGTTGTTGAAATTGTTGTACCTCAGCCAAAGTTCGGATTGCGTAACCCTTTTGGGGCTGCACCGGAAGGTCCATGTCGATCTCTTGAGGAGGTGGGGTTTGATGAACCACCTCCTATACCGCCTTCATTGCAGAATCGCCCACCAGTAAAACCAGAACGCATTGGTGGTACTTCTATGCGAATTGGCACAAGTATTGACACAATTGGAGTGGAACCTATAAGGGTAAACAGCCTCTTGAGTGACTCCCTACAATTCTCTCAGCCTTTGAACAAATAATTATTTATACTTTTTCGTGGGTTTTTATCTTTCTTTCTCTATTCAACTCTGGGTATTTATTTTGAGCGATTCCGGCATTATTTGAATTTAATATAGATGAGGCAATCTGATACTGAGTTTTTTTTTTTGTTTTTTTTTTTTTTGTTTTGCCTGCGCAGCTTCCACATTTATTGAGAAATCTTTTTCTTTTCATCTGATTCATTGGTACATGTGGGCATCGAGTGCCTCAGTACATATTTTGTTTTCTGGTAGGGATAGCTCTTGAAAAATAAAAGAAAAAATATAGGAAAAGGAAAAGGTAATTTCATTACCATGCGGTGCCCCGTTTTTCGGGGAACGCTAGCTTATTTGTTTCTCTTTTGGTGCCTGAGCTTAGCACTACTAGTGACCACAGGAACAACAGCGGATGCCAAGGAAAGAATAAAAGTATCAGAAGACACAGGAGAAATAAGTAAAGCTTCTGGGACTCTTTCCCAGGAGAATGACATTGTTGACGGGTATCAAGATGACGAGATTCGACGTTTGGAAGAGGAACTTGCACGTCTGCGGAAACTGGACGAAAAACAAAAAAGTCTAGAAGAGGAGACTGATAGACACAAGCTGTATGAACAACAGTCAAAGGTGTTACAGACCGAAACAAAAGAAGACGAATCTCAACGATCTGAAGCTGAAGAAGCCGCACAACGACAGGCTGAAGCTGAAGAAGCCAAACGACGACGTGCTGAGGCGGAGGAGGCCGAACGACGACGTGCTGAGGCGGAGGAAGCCGAACGACGACAGGCTGAAGCTGAAGAAGCCGCACGACGACGTGCTGAAGCTGAAGAAGCCGAACGACGACGTGCTGAGGCGGAGGAAGCCGAACGACGACGTGCTGAAGCGGAGGAAGCCGAACGACGACGTGCTGAAGCGGAGGAAGCCGCACGACGACAGGCTGAGGCGGAGGAAGCCGCACGACGACGTGCTGAAGCTGAAGAAGCCGCACAGCGACAGGCTGAGGCGGAGGAAGCCGAACGACGACGTGCTGAGGCGGAGGAAGCCAAACGACGACGTGCTGAGGCGGAGGAAGCCGCACAACGACGTGCTGAAGCTGAAGAAGCCGAACGACGACGTGCTGAAGCTGAAGAAGCCGCACAACGACAGGCTGAAGCTGAGGAAGCCGAACGACGACGTGCTGAAACGGAGGAAGCCGAACGACGACAGGCTGAGGCGGAGGAAGCCAAACGACGACAGGCTGAAGCTGAAGAAGCCGCACAACGACAGGCTGAAGCTGAAGAAGAAACGCTTGTATCTCTCCTTAATCGTTTGTCTATGCAGGTTTCCATGTTGGAAGAATCTCTTACTGCTGCTAAGGATCAAGTTCCTTCTGCTTGTTTTACAATGGGTGAAGGGACTGATGTTTGCCAAGACCCCCTACGTGCCTTTCGTGCGGCCGCTGCGGGTCTAACCGTGGCTATTGATCATTTAAGCGACTTGTCAAAATCTAAGGAACGAAAGTATGGGGTACATACAGAGGGAAGAATTAAAGATAGTACAGATGTCCATGAAATTCCTTTAGGAGAAACACCTAGAAGGGGTAAAAAAGCCTTCCAGTCGCATTCGGTCAGTTCTAATGATAATGTTGCTGCTGAACTTGAAAATGCTGCACGGGGAGCGGGATATGACTTGGAACGCTTCAACGAAAAGAAGGTCCCTGTTAACTTAAGAGATGTGTGGACATGGGTTGGAACGGTAGTTGTTTTTCTTGTAGTTGGAGCGGCAAAAAGATTTTGGCCCTTCTCTGAGGAGGTTGAAGGGAGAGAAGAGAAAACGAAGAATCATGTAAATGGTCACGAAGAAAATCAACATGTGAAAGAAAACAAGGATGCTGCTAATGTTTACGGCGAGACCTATCCTCCTAACGAGGCACCAGACCGAGAGCAGGGCATTCAGAAAGATGTTAACCCTGACATCAAGGGTACAGTACGCAGGTTGCCAGCTAGCAACGTTGCAAATACGGTTCGTCCCAATGCCTCACAAACAACTCCATTTACCGGGATAAAACCGCAAGGTGTAGGGGCTTCGATCACACCGCCTCAAGGAGTGGGCGCCCCTCCTCAACAAGCGCCACCATTCTCTGTGGGTGATGCTCGACATGGTCCACCAACCAGCGGAGTACCTAAACAAGGTGTAGGGGCGTCGATCACACCGCCTCAAGGAGTGGGCGCCCCTCCTCAACAACCGCCACCATTCTCTGTGGGTGATGCTCGACATGGTCCACCAACCAGCGGAGTACCTAAACAAGTTGTAGGAGCGTCAAACACATTGCAGGGTAGTTCGATAAATTCGGTACCCTCTTTTGAGCAAGATGCCGAGACAAAGTCTTTCGGAGAGTCTCTGAACGAGCTCCGAAATCCGTTTCTTCAGAGGTGGTCGTGACCATTTGCGTAGAATCAAAAAGCGAAAAAAAAAAATGAGAAACCTCTCTAAGAATGATAGTTAGCAGTGGGTAATGTTTTGTTTTGTTGTCGTTGTTGCATCTGTTTCTAAAGAAGTGTTTTCTTAAATATGTTTGACTTTATATTGGATGCTGGCATCTGTTGTGTATGCTAAAGGGGGAAAGGAACCGCATGAAATAAACAATACGATCTGCGATTCACCAATTGTTTTGTCTCGATGTGTATACAGTAGAAAGGCTTCTAGCTTGGAAGATGAGAACATGGTAAGAATGGGAAGTATATAAAACATGTAGAAGCTCCTTTTATGCAGAGCTATTCGCATAAAAAATCCTGTATTGATTCTGCCTCAGTTGCACAAAGAAAAAAAAGAAAAAAAAATTTAAAGGAGATTGATCTTTTTCAAAATGTTTTTTGTGTCAATGCCAAAACTACCGTTTTAGTTGAAAATGGGTATGAGAATTTTTTTTTTTCTTCTTTGAACGTCTGATTCATGGGAAATCTCGTTTTGTATTATTATCTGGCGGTTTGATCGATGAATCAGGTGGAGAAGACACCCATTCAACGATCAACAGTTGCAAAAAAGGACTTATACACGGGTTAGAAACGTAGTTCCGGTAAAAGGAGGGTATGCAAAGACGGATGAGAGATTTGAATAGTGAGGCTGAGGCCTCTTTGGTGATGCAAATGGTAAAGGATTGAATATCGGTACTTTTATCTCGTATGTTAGCACTGAAATCAGGGCATCGTCTTCCAGCAGTCACTATCAAAAGCATTTTATTGAAGTTAAATAAGTAGGATAGAAGTGATCAAATAATAACGCCTTGAAACTATATCACTATGACTACCGCCAACACTACCGGTAACAACAACAGGATTGGGGTGTGGGGTAGGGTATGGTGTGGGGAATCCACGATATTGTAAAGATATAGTAGCTATTTCAAGCGAAAAACTGTACAGAGGGGCCGGAAGAAGGATTCAAGAAAGGAGAGGGGGAGATGGAGGAAGTGCGTTTCATTACCTTGATGATAAACTCTGTGAGATATATATATATATTTTTTCACCCCCTAAATAATCTTTGCGACTCGAAGGGAAAAAGGAGGATATCGTTGTCTTTGAGGCTTTGTTAAAAAAAAAAAAAAAAACAGGGGTGAAACTCACATTACAAAAAAAAAAAAAAAAAACAATTTTTCCTAGAAAACCCCATGCAACTCATCATAAAGTGCACTTCTTGTGGCTTTTAAATATGAGAATGATGGACGGTCGGGAGTGTTTGCGCAAGATGCTTATGAGAGACTCTGCAATAACCTAATAACGGTGTATGGTTTTGTTTTTAGGGTAACGATCAACAATCGCAATTAGACCTTGGATATACCTGGATACCCTTCATGGATTGCAATTGGTTAAGTGACTATTATGTGAAGGAAAGAAATGTACAATGTGCGTCCTGAATCAAAGTGGGAAAATGAAAAGAATTGTGGTATATGATGTGAAGACCAGTTAACATCTGGGAAAGACGAGCAAAAGGGAATAGTATGTACCACAGAATGATACGATGATTAAAGAGAAATGAGTAAAAAAAAAAAAAATGAACTGGAATGTAATGAGAAAGACAAAGATGAATATGAGGAATGCACATTTCAATTATAACTTTCTCCGTAAAGTTGGTCGAATTGTATCTATCCAAAAGTATATTCTCTTTGCATTGTGTTTTTTTTTTTTTTCTCTCGTTTCTCATTTTTTTTTTTCCATTAATGTATGAGCGGGATAAGAATGTATTCCATTGTTGTATTGTTTAATATCTGATGTCTCTGCTTTTACAATTTGCATCACTTACTCTTGGTTTTTTTTCTTGCTAATGAAAGTCAAAAAAAAAAAAATGAAGTGGGGTCAATGTTCTTTTTTTTTTTCCCCCTCTGACGCTCAACTGATTATAGTTCCGCTGTTTGCATTCTCTTGTAGACTTTCTCACTTTCTCTCTTTTTTTTCCCATTTTTTTTTTTACTTCTTATATATATATATATATATATATAACATGTATGATCTTCTTCTTGTTTACCCTTCTTTTTGGAAAGTATTGGCATGGTAGCAAAATGGTCACAAAGGTTTCGGAGTGCAATTGGTTTCTACTGTTTGACATTGCTCTCAGTCATGGGGAGTCTCTGCGCCGACAGGAGTTATCTTTTGGCGGCTTGATGACACTGCTGCGGTCTGCTGGGCTCTTGGGACCAAATACTGGAGTATATCAAGTCCTTCTTGAAACCCTTTGGCAGTATCATGGACATCCATCACATCCTACAGAAGATTTCGATAATAATATTAATAGTACTAATAATATTGTTGCAAATAAAATGAAAAATGTGCATGAACTAACAGTAAATTTTGATGGATTTATTGAAATTATGAATGTTGTTTGTGTAAGATGCTTTCAGACACAGCGTTACTCTGAACTTGTTGATGAGAGTCGTCCTCTTTCAGAGGCTGTTGTTTTGTCTGCTGAAGATCAAGTAAAACTGAAGGAAAGTGTTATATTTACATCACGCCGTTTCTTCAAACCCCTGATAAATAGAAGCATTGTCTTGAAAAGGATGGTGGTATCATTAGACTCTATGAAGAATAATTGGACTCCTTATACCAATCAATTAGTGACACATATCATCGCCTCATCAATTGATTCTATCGTTTTACCACTTTTCTACCGTTATGCGGAGAATGGTCGGGTATTTCGCCCTGCCTTTGAGAAAATGATAGCAGATATTTTTCCACATTTTTCACCTGTTCAGAAAAAAAGTGCGGTATCTATTTTTGATTACCGAGAATTTTTTGGTATCCATAATTTGATGAAGTACTGTCGACTGAAATTACGTGAGGGCGTAACTACGGCTTTGGAACTAGACTCCTTTGCAGAGGCTCTTTTAATGTTAGGGATTGTAGCGTTTTCTGATGAGGTACGTTATGAACACCATCGTCCACTTACAGCCAAATTTTGGTCTGTTTTTGAAGATTATTATAGTAAATTTATAGGGGTACTAATGGTGCCAGATCCACTTTTTGATAATAAATACGCTGTTATTCAACCAGCTATAAGTCTTGTATTTCCATTAAGAGTTCCTCTAGACAAGGTTTCATCCTTTATAATTGGTGGATGGAATTTGACAGTTGAAGAATACCGTAGAGAATCTCTTAACTCTGTAAACGATTACCCTCCGTGTATTTTAGAAATTCCTGAGGAAAAAGATAGTATTAATGATTTAGACGATCGTCGTCTTTCTGGACTTACACCATCTTCTTCTGCGAGGTTGGCATCTAAATTATTTGATGAGGAGTTGGATCGTCCAACTTTTTCAAAGCATGATTTACCACTTTACGGCATGAAACGCTGTAAAGTGTACGTGAACCAATATCGGGCTACCGCGTTTCAGCGGGGTCCTAATCATGTGGAGGTGGTATTGCCCAGATCTCTATGGGATATTTCCATTCGCAATACACGCATTGATTTTGTAGAATCAGGTGGAGAAGGTAAACTGACATTAAGTCCTATGACAAGAGTTGTTGTGTCGCTGCGGGGTATTAATGAGGATGTAGTATATAGCTCTAAGGATGTTCTCCTTATGTCGACTCCACTAGTGGAATCTATTTCAGTGACACAATTACAAGAGTTAAAAACAGTTTTTTCCCGTTATGCTACTGATGGAATGATGCAAATGAATCAATTTGATAAAGCATGTGATGATTTATTTCTTACAACTTTAGGTACCAAAGATGGTGGTTGCTCCTTATTTTTACAACGATATTTAGAGACAAAGCAGGCTGAAGGATCTATACAAAGTGACGATATTACCTGCAAGAAGAATTGTATTTGTTTTTCAGAATTTGTTTCTGCTGTAGCAACTTTAGTTCTTCAACAAATGGATACAAATGGGTATCTCCCCAGTATTCCTTATATTCTTTCTGTTGCTTTGTCACGTGCAACTCAGAAGTTACCATCTCTAGTTGAGAAGAAACGTACGAGTTGTGTGTCATTAACTCCACAACCACCACCAAAATCATCAACCTCATTATCATGCCCCCACAATGCTAGAGTTGATGTGCCGTATACTACCGCTCTACAAAGGAGAGCGTCTTCTACCCGTTTATATGATGATGTTGAAACTGCGATGAGAGAGGTAGGAAAAAAGAAATGTTTGATTCCGCCTCTTCCCTGCTTTCCTCTAGAAGCCAGAACAGTTAGTGTTGTCTCTCAGTATAACGATGACATGAATGGACTTCACGAAAAAGTGGTGAAAACATCTGAAGCACTTCGTGAGAGCTTCCTAAAAAAAGAAATGGTGGTCTCTTCACAAGGATACAAAACAGAGTAAAATGTTTCTCCTGTATGTTATCACCTTTTTTTTTTGTTCTTATATTGTTTTCCTTTTTTTTTTCCCTTTGTGCTTTCTTGTTCCTCTGTTGTATGTACATTGGTTATTATCTATAAAGCCAGTGTATCGTGCACTTTGTGAGTTGCTGATGTAAAAAAAAAAAAGAAGAAAATAAATAAATAGAAAAGTACTCTCAAAAAAGAATATATATATATATACGAAAAAAAAATTTCGTAAAACTACAATTTCTTGGTCAATTGAAAAAAAAAAATTTTTCCCTTCTTTTTCACTATTACCTTAATTCAAAGCAAAGAGTCTCTTTTTTCACGAGACCAAGTGTAGTTTTTCCCTCAGAGGGATGAAATCGTCATATGTCTCGTCTAAATATCAACGAGAGCTAATGGAGGGGTTACTTAACTTGTCCAATGTATCCTTTGGAGAACAGGTTCTTTTTGTCAACAAACTTTATGATACTCCCCTTCAGACGCTCGAAGATGCCCTTCTTCAAGTTTCGCACGTCTGTATAACACATGGTGAAACGGAAGTTCAAAACCTTTTGCGTAACTTTATGCTATGGCTTGCAGGACAATCATTTAGTGCAGCACTTAGACTAGGATGGACAGTGGACTCCGTCTTGGGGACATATAACACCTTTGGACTAGGGGACCGTGTAAGAGAGATTCAGGATAAGATAGAGAGCTTTGCTATTAACCGCAAAGGTGCTGCTAGAAAAGGAAATGATGACGAAGTGACTGAGGCAGAGATTGCGCAAAAAGAGATGCGTTTAAAGCTGTACAATGATGAGAGAATGTTTTTCAATGTTATCACTAATTTGGGAAATTATCTACGTAATTTTACCGATAAACAAAGACGTCAAACAGAATTGAAAATTAGATTACGTGAGATTAATGAGTTATTGAGAACACAATCTCTTATATTCCCCTTAGGTAATAGTTCAGATCCAGTCAAATGGATTGTAAATATTGCAGTTGATGATTGTGTAGTTTTTTCATCTAGGGAACGAGCACCATTTCTCTTGCGATGTGAAGTTATACTTGATGAAACAGCAACTATGAATGATCCAACTTCTTCAAAGTTACGACTACCTAATGGTAAATTCAAAATTTCTCCTGATTCTGATGAGTTATTAAGTACATCATATTCTACTGAAAATAATGAAAATCAAGGGGAGGTAAATAAAAAGCGTGTAATAGAAGGAAATGGCTCCTTGGAGACACTTCAGTGTGCTTTTGGTGAAATACCAGAAGATCGTCTTGCACGCATACGCAAAAAATCTATATTTGGAAATCATCCAGGATGGGGTATAGCCTCTATTATTGTTAAAGCTGGAGACGATTTACGACAAGAAGAGTTTGCTTTACAGTTGATTGATATGTTTAACAGAATATGGAAAGAAGCTGGACTAACTTGCTCGGTTTATCCGTATCATGCTCTTTCTATTAGCGTGGATTCTGGAATTATTGAGTGTATAGATGTTGCTTGCTCTATTGATGGGATTAAAAAAGCTTGTCAAGTATCTTATCTTGCAGAATTTTTTAATGAGGCTTTCGGAGCAAAAGACTCTGAGACATACCTTAATGCACAACGAAATTTTGTGGAAACAATGGCTGGTTATAGCATTGTCTCTTATATGCTTCAGATTAAGGACCGACATAATGGTAATCTTATGGTTACAAGCGAAGGACATTTAGTTCATATAGACTTTGGTTTCATGCTTGTTACATCACCTGGAGGAATAAATTTTGAATCAGCCCCTTTTAAACTTTCACAAGATTTACTAGAAGTTATGGGTGGTGTAGGTAGCGCTGCATTTAATTATTTTAAAGTACTTATGTATCAAGGAATGGTTGCAATTCGTGACCGTGCAGACGAGATTTTGGCTCTTGTGTCACTTATGACCCCTTACAATACCATGCCTTGTTTTGGTAGTGATCCTATTGCAGCTGTTCAGCAACTTCGTTCTCGTTTTCGTTTTGATTTGGAGACTGAAGCTGATTTTGCTTTATACGTGAAGGAACTTATTATGGGAAGTGTTGATAATTGGCGCACAAGGCGTTATGATCAATTTCAAACCCTTCAAAACGGTATCTTGTAGGTTGCGTGCAAGTTTGCTTTTCTTTTTTATTTATTTCTTTTCTTTCCCCGCTAGTATGCGTGGTTCAATTTTGAGGGGAAGCGCGTGAACTTTTCTTTTTTTTTTTTGCGGTTCTACTGTGAGTGGGTCGTCCAACTCTTTCTATTCTTGTAGTTATATCAAAGTACAAAACGAAAAGAAAAAAAAAAAGAAAAGTAAATGTTTTCTTGGGCTTTATTTATTTATTTATTTTTTCTCTTTGACTCTTCTGGTTTCTCCTTTATCTGTTTTTTCTTCTTCTTCTTGCTCTGTCATTGCACCATTTTTTTTTTTTTTTGCCAGGTCCGAAAGGGTGTGAGACTGTTTGTTGTGGAGATCGCGGGGGAGGTGAGGGCTGCCAGTGTTCATGAACGGGGACTACACCGCACCGCTGCTCTCGCGGGGGGAGTTCGAGGCGCTCAAGCACGACCCGCTGCTCATCTTGGCGCGGGCCACGGAGGCGATCGCCGGGTTGCAGCAGCGGGAGGCCGCACGGCGGGCGGAGGCCACTGAACTCCAGCGGCTGGTGGAGGCGGCGGGGGCGGCCGGGGGCACCGATCCCACCAGCGCCCAGCGGGAGCGGGACGTGATGGACGCGACGGCCGAGTTGGAGCGTGACCACCGCCAACTCGCCGTGCGCTGCACAGAAATGGAGTTGACGAATAAACGACTGACAGAGGTAGTGGATGAATTGCGGCGGGAGAAGGACGCATTGCTTAAGGAACGTACAGAGCTGCAAAGTACACAGAACAAACTAGATGCGCAGTACACTGATACCCTAAATAAGATCTCCACACTAGAGAAATTGATACCGGATGACACTGCGAAAATAAAGGGTCTTCAGGATATCATTGACAAGAAGATCACTTCATTAGACGAACTCACCAAAGAGGTTCTTAACTATACCAATAAGTCTTCAGGACTACAGAAAAAAGTGGAGAAGTTAGGTTGCGAGCGCCTCACATTGGAGGCAGAAACAGTGGCGTTAGAACAAACGACTAGGCAACAGGAACGTACAATCAACTACCTTCAACATGAATCTACTCAGCTTGATGATGAAATTAATAAAAAAACAACAGAGTTAGTGGAAATGAAGAAACAAATGTCTGCTATGTTGTTGGAACTACAACTTCAAATTACAAGAGCTGAAGAGGAAATGACCCGATTACAAAATGCAGTTTCCAATGAAAAAAATTTAACTGGTCGTCAAAATCTATGGCAGGCAAAAGAACTTCACGCAAAAACGGAAGATCTTCTTACCACTCGTCAAGAAATGACACAGGAACATGGAAAATTAAAGACGGAGTTATCAATATTACAAGAAAAGGTTCAGCGCCTTAAAAATAATGCCCTTGTAGTAGAAAAACAGAATCAAGTGATGGGACAATCTTTACAACAATTAGAGGATGAGGATGAATTTGCAAGGTCATCCTATGCTAAACGTAAAGATGAAGCTTTTGAAGAGTCAACTAAACAGTCTGCAACAGTTCAACAACTTAACGCAGAACTTCAGAAAGCACGTGAGAATCTTTATATGATGAAATCCAAGGTATGCAAAGATTGTCGTACGTCCATTTTTCCGAGTGAAGTACCAGATACATCTATAGGATAAGATTATTAAACTTAATAGGAAAAAAAAAGGAAATAAGTTGAGTGATCTATAGATGCCTCTCTAGTGTACCTTTTCTTCTTATTATTCTTCCATATTTACTTTATTATATATCGTTCAGTTTTTTTTTTTTTTACTATTATTGGTTTCCTTCCTTCTTTTTAAATTCTAGATGTACGAGTTCTTTTAATGGGGTAGTATACATGAGACAATGAGATTTTCTCCCCATTCTACTATAGTTTTTCTTGCTGATCGTTGGGAATGCTGTGATGATGATTGAAAAGAAAAAAAAAAAGATGTGAATGTTTCCTAATTCTGTTAATCTCCTTTGTTTCTTTCTATTTATTTCGTTTTTCTTGTTGTTCTAATTATAAATGTTTTTTTTTTCATTTTTTTTTTCTTTAAAAAGAGAATAACCGTATTGCATTCGAAATGGCCAAAACACGCACTGCAATGCCACAAGGTCGTTCTGTTTCTGCAGTCTTTTTTGGGCATCCTCTTTTGGATATGTCGGCGTTAGCTTCCGAGGAACTTTTGGCACACCATGGGATTCGTGAGGGTAGCGTGGATCTAGCAACACCTGAGCAGCTGCCAATATTCACAAAATTATTAGACGCCAAAGACACCATGTACCATCCTGGAGGTGCTGCTATGAACGCAGCCCGTACGATGAAATGGATTTGCCCTGAAATGGGTGTCTGTTGTGTAGGTGCAATGGGTTGCGATCAGTTCCAGAAGCTATTTACAGAGGCTTTGGATACAGCAGGAGTGCAACACTTGTTTGAGTATCATGAGGACGTTCCTTCTGGGACTTGTGCGGCACTTGTGGTCAAGAAGGAGCGAGCTATGTTAGCAAACTTGGGTGCTGCCACTAGAGTTTCACTTGCGCATATGCAAAGTACGGATGTGGCGGATGCCATTCAAATGGCTTCTATATTCTACGCTGAAGGTTTTTTTCTTAACACTATTTCTAGTCCTGATAATATCTTATTGGTTGCGGAGCATGCGTTTAGAGAAGGAAAGTTGTTTTGTTTCAACTTGAGTGCCCCATACATCAGTTCCGCTTTTGGTGACCGATTGAACTTGCTTCTTCCGTATATTGACATTCTCTTCGGTTGTAAAGATGACTTTGCTACCTTCGGTACAGTGATGTGGGGCGCAGAGATGGCGGGGGACATACGAAAGACGCTCCTGCGGACCGTGCGACTGCTGAAGCGGAACGCCTCACGGCCGTGCCTCGTCGTGGCGACGTGCGGGGGTGACGCAACACTCGTCGCCGATGACAACGGAGTCGTCGCGTATGACGTGCCGCACGTAGAGGAGGCGCACATCGTCGACCTCACGGGCGCGGGCGACGCCTTCGTCGGCGGGTTTCTCGCGCAGTACGCCCAAAATCCCGCCATTGACGCCTGCGTGGCGGCCGGTCATGCGGCTGCTTCTGTCGTCATTCGCCAGTGGGGCGTGCGGTTGAATGGCGAACCCCCGGTACTGCGTACATAATCGTAAAGGGGATGATGTGTTGCACTTAGAGGTAGTAGTAGATAAAATAATAATCATAATAATAACAATAATACGAAGGATGTCTACATGTGTATGTGTGTGCGTGTGTGGAGGGAGAAAGACATGAGGAAGGAAAAACCTTCGATGAAAAAGAAAATAAATAAATAAATACATACATACATATATAAATAAAAATGAGGACCCACGAGAAGAAATAAAAATAGAAACCGAAAGACAAACATTTGTTTTTTATTTTCGCTTTTTTTTTCTTGAACAAAAGAGTTGCTGGAGTTGGAGAGACTTTCTTTCACACAATTTGTATACCTTATTTTGTAAGACTTCAGACTTCTCTCGTGCCTTCCTTTTCCTTCAAAAATTTTTTTTTTCTCTAAATGTGTGCGTGTACATATCTGTTTCTTTTTCTCTCTCTCTCACACGCACACAGAAAGAAAGAAATAAATAAATAAAAAGAAAGAGAGAAAGAAAAGGTGGTGAGGTTGTGCGGAACGCCGTTTTTTTTGCTTTTCGAGGAGAAAAAAAATAATATACCAGAAAAAAAGAACACTAATCATACGCTAATATTTGAAAAAGGTCAACTGGAGAGAGTAATAAATACATGTTTTTTTTTTTTTTTTGAAATTTCTCTGGAGAATACTTTTTACTCCCCCTTTGTTTCGTTTGAAGCAACTTTTTCTCATGAGAGAGGCTCACCAGGCAGAGGTGAGACTCGTGTTGAGTTCTTGTATGTAACAGAGCTTCTGGACCTTGATGCTGTTTCATTTTTGTTATTGTAATCATTACTCTTGTTATTTTTGTAAATATCATTGTTGAAGAAGAAGACTCGTTTTTGTCGCCTTTCGTTTTCTTTTCCTGTTTTTTAAAACAATGGTTAATAGTGGAGGTAGATGTTACGTGACCAAGTGGCATTAAATGACGAAGAAAATGATTACGGTTGACAGGTTTTTTCTACTACTACTTATAGAATCTACAAAATCTGAGAGATAATGAGTTTTTCCTTTTTTTTGCTTAAAAACTGGGGTTATTATATTTACAGACATATGTCTGTGTTTAAATTATTGTTTTCCTTCTTTTTTTCTTTGGATGTTGTTTTATTAATATCTTTCTTTCTTTTTAAATTATTTCTTGGGCTTGAAATAAGGGGAGACGCGGGACAGACTTTGTTATGGTAATTTCTTCGGGAGCCAAGGAGACTTTTCTCCGGCACAACCCTTACCGAGGTGAAGTTATTTCATGGTATCGAAGATTTCTAAAAGTAGCGTTTTCTGTACCTTGGGAGACGGACGACGATGCCTTGTACGTTTTAGAAGAGACAAGACGTCTTTTCCGAGAAAATAAAAACATCACTGACGTGAGTGTTATTCAACGAAAATTACGTGAAGCAGAAATGCGGTATGAGATTGGTGTTCACTACCGCATTCCATACCCTCGTCCGTACCACAAAATGCAAGGAGCATTGCAGGAGAGTGGTGTGGCGTATGCGGCGGAGCTTGACTCTATGTATGATCACCCTATTAGCCCACGAACTGGACGGATAATGGAAGGTAGTGCAAACCACGGTACAATGGGTGGGGTTGAATATTCAATGCATTTGCTAGATGATGGAATCAATACTGAAGAAGAGAAACTTCCAAAAACATTATGAGTGAGATGTGTAGCGTGGTTACAGTTTTTATTTTATTTTTTATTTGTTTATTTATTCAGTATGATTTGGATTTGTAGCAAAAAAACTACATTTTTTTTTGTTCTTGTTATTTCTTTCTTTTTCGTTTGTTCCTCACTATTATTTTATTATTATTATTATTATTATTATTATTATTATATTTGAATTAGATATATGGTTTCCACCCTTTTTTTTTTCTCATTTTATCCTTTAGACGATAGTTTCCTGTAATCGGAAGAAAAAAGGAAAAAAAAAAACCTCTTTTTTTAAATATTTATGGAAGATGCACGGAGGTTTTTTTCAACGATTGGGATGGATATTTTGGTGGTTTATGGGTATCCTATGGGAAATTGTTGCTGGCGTACTTGATATTCCTCTGGGTTCGCTGACCCACTCGGCCTTGGAAAAAAGAGCCGCTGTAGCCAAGACATATTCTGAGTGGATAGTTATAGCCCGTCAATTAGATGAAATAGAAGGTTTTCAAGAGTGGCGTCTTAAAGATGAACCACGATATATGAATGTTGAAGGTCTAGTTGATCGTATTCAACTACTAGCAGATGTTAAAAAGAGAGGTGATACAGCGACACTTTTGAGTGTCCTTTCTACTGGACTTCAACGTTCTGTTTATGGTATAATGAACCCTAATCTTTATATGTACCGTTCAGGAACAAAGGCAGTTATTGAAGCATATAATTCATTATTAGTTTTCCTTATTCGAAGTCTCGCTCATGATACTTCTTTGAGTCCTCGTAAAAAGTATGATACATTAGTAGAGGTGACACGTGTATACGGTAGTACAGCTCTGGTTTTTAACGGAGGTATTGTATTTGGACCATTTCACATGGGTGTTGCTGAGGCACTTTGGAAAGCTGATTTGTTACCTCGTTTTTTCTATGGAGAACGAACCGGTGCAGTGGTAGCAGCTCTCTTGTGTTGTAAAAAGGACTTGACAGATGTATTCGACCTAAATGTTATTGATTTCTGCGCTTTTAAAGGCAAAAGTACTGATTCATTTGCTCGACGCTGGCGTCGTTTTTGGAAAGAATCTCATTTTATGGATATAGGTATTCTTGTAGAATTTATGAAATCTAACATAGGTGAGTTAACGTTTCTTGAGGCATATCAACTAACTGGACGAGTACTTAATATTGAGTACACACCTGAAGGGGGTGATGTAAGTGGTACTACTGCTCCACCTTTAAGACTACTTAACTACTTAACAGCCCCTAACGTTCTTGTCTACAGTGCAGCAGCAGCTTCTTTCGGTTCTGTTCCTCTTATATTTCAACGCTATCCTCTAATGGCAAAAGATCTCAATGGGGATATTGTACGATATGATCCACCTGTAATGGGGGCTATAGGTAAAAGACCCGATGGGAAAATTGATGGACTTAAACGAATGCGTGAACTTTTTCATATTAATTGTTTTATTGTCTCAGAATGTTCAGCTACTCGGTTACCATTTTTACGACTTGTTGATCGCACCTCTTTGGTAGCTCGTCTGGGTCATGCTGTTTCAGAAGAGTGGTGGCGTTTTGCTTCGTATTTAGTTTCTTTTACACCACTCCAAAAATTTGTATGGGTATTTTTCTCTAACGATAATCTTGACTCTGATGATGTGATCAAATTGTTTCCTGCTTCCTCATGGTCAGATATCTTTGGGATTTTCCATCCAACAACAATTAAAATTGTACAGCAATATATCTTACGTGGTGAGAGGCATGTTTGGCCGAGCCTTGAGCGAATACGAGAACACGTTGCTGCGGAGTTAGCGTTGTACGATGTTCTAAATGAACTACGTCAAATGGATACATCGATTTCTTTGGAAAATGAGAACTCTTACGTGTGGTAAGAAAAGAAAAAAAAAGAAAAAAACAATAATGACAACAACAAACAAATAAATAAATAAAAGGTTATGAATACGAAAAAATACGTTTACTTTCCAATTTTTTTTTTCTTTTTGCTGTTTTCTTTCTAGGGGAGGTAATGACGTACTTTAATATTGACGGAAAAGGTAAATGATAAGATATCCATTAATGTTCGTGTGTATATTTCTATTTATTTATTTGTTTCTTTTTCTTTCTTTTTGTTTTCTCTGTGTCTTTACTGTATTTTCGTATGCTTTCCCTCTCCCTTTCGCTCTTCTTTATCTTTCTTCTTTATCTTTCTTCTGGTTGTGTTGTCTGCACTAGCGGATCCCGTGAAGAACCGAGAACCGTAATGCCCACCGTGACGGCCTTGTCGCCCCGCACCGCCGGCTCCACGCGGTATATTGTGTGTGAGGTGCAGGGCCGGCCGTGCCTCGCCCCGCGCTCGCAGCCCACAAATTTGGCCCTCACGTTCCTCGTCAAGTTGGACCCCGCCAGCGGGCAGGAGTTTTACGTCAACGTCCTCTCAAAGGCAAAGTCGTGGGAACTGCCCGACCCAGACGCCGCCCCTGCCGAAGAGTCCAACAAAATAGACACGGAAGAGACACCCACACCACCTGCAACTGTGGAATGCCTGCGAACTGTGTATAAATTGCAGCAATCAGAGAAGGGTGAAGAGTACGTCCCGCAAAATTTACCATTTGAACCGTTACAAATCCATTGCTGGCGTCCAGTTTACAATGCTGCAAAAAATCGATTTTTGTATATTAACTGTGAGACCGATGGGCAGGTAACACGTTTACCACCTATCTGGGATTTTTGTGATGCCGTAAGACAGTTGTACGATTATTACAGTATTGGTCCTTCTTACGTGGATGCTCTTCAAAATAATAGGGGAAAAGAACAAGAACTCCTTAATACACTTTCTATTCAATACGGTTCGAAACCACCTACACAAAATGAGATTATGGAGATTACAGAAATGTACTTGAAACAATATGATACATCAATGTTGAGTGAAATAGATAACCTCCTCATGCAATGGCGTGGAAATGAAATTGGACTCCTTCAGGAATTACAAAAGGAGTACGGTGGTCGGCGACCACGTACAATACGGGAACGAATCCGCGCTATTTATGCTCAGTACCAACCAACTAAAATTTTATCATGTGAAGAATTAATGGATCAGTACAAGGGACGAGAAGAAGAACTTCTTGTCGCAGTACAAGAAAAGTTTGGTCCTGAGTTTATCAAGGAAAGCGATTCACTTGATCAAATTATTCATCGTATACGATGTCAGTTTTTAAGGTATGATACGAAACGTAGTTTTGACGTTGATACCGTATTAATGAGACACAAGGGAGCTGAGTTGCAACTTCTTGAACTCCTTGTTTCTTACTACGGTCCAGAAGTTGACACAGAGGAGATGACACAACTTGTTAATCTTCAGAACTTAACTGTAACACATGAAGAGGATAATGTCTGGGATGAAATAAATTCATTACATGACAATGACGAAGAGAAGATACTTGGAGGGAAAGAAATGGAAATAAAAGCCAATGAAAACGAGGCGGAAAATAATCTAACCTCTGAAGAAGCACAACCAAATGAAGGATATAATAGAATTAATTCAAATAATAATTTATATCCTTACAAGATTGTAGCAGAGGAGGAATACTTCCCAGTAATACCATTTATAAGTAGTGATGCAGAAAAACAGTCAACAGGTTCCACTGTGAGTAACGAGGAACCACTTGAGACTATGAATAATAATAATAATAATAATAATAATAATAATAATAATAATAATAATAATAATAATAACAATGATAAGAAGGAGGTATCATGTATCTCTGAACCACGGAGCGCAACACCTTTTTCAGAGTCACAAGAAGCAGAAGAAGTGTTTCTGACACCAGAAGTAGCGTTGGCCTCTGACCCGGGTCAAACATCTATTACACCTGTACAAGAAAAAGTAACAGTAACGCCTAAATTATCTGAACTTGTATCATCCACCCTTCTTGAGTCGCAAAAGATTTCTTCACCATTATTGTTTCCATTCTCCAATTCAGAGTCTTTGACACGTGGACGTACGGAAATGATGGGGGTAGAACAGATCTTGCGTGAGCGGGAGTTTCAAAAACAACAACAACGAATTCTTTTTGAAGAGAAACTATTGGAAAAAGAATTAGACACTCACCGAAGACTTGTCGCACTCGAGACTGAAAAGCGTTGGGAAGAGGAAACAGAAAAAGTAATGGAAGTTGCACGCTCTGCGGCATTACATGCAGTTCAGGAAATAACTCGTTTACAACAAGTTCGTGATGAAGAGTCAAGAAATAAAGGGAAAGATGAGGCTTTGATTCGTCAGGAAGAACACCATCGTCTTATTGAGGTAGTAAACTCTGCAAACAAGGACCTTATGGTCCAGCTTTCTCAGATGGAGAAACAACTAAAAGAGGCATTTTCTACTGTGGAAAACTATTCACAAAGGAATGAAAAACTTCAGTCTGAGAATACACAATTGTTAAACAAATTTGCTGATATGCGACAGCAATATGATTTGGAACTGCAAGGAATGAGAATTCACTTAGATGACATGCGTGTACATGTTGCCGCAATGATGAGTGAACATGAAGTGAAAACACTTCATTTAAAGAAGCAGCAAGAAACGACAATATCTAATATGGTTCGAGAGCTAGAATGTGAACGCGAGAATGTCACCAAGACAAAAATAAAGTATGAGGAACAAATAGCTGAAATGGAAACCACCATTACCAGACTTCAGCAGCAATTGAAGATGGTGATGACAGAACGAGATAATACTGAAGCGAAATTTAATTCACAAACTCTCACCCTGAGGGAGCGTATGGCAGAGATAGAGGAACTATACAAATCTATTGAGCTGAAACGGACTAAAAGAAGTGAAGCGGCAATCCAGACTGAAGAATTTCAAGATAGTATGAAATCCCATGATACCCGTTTATCTGAGAGATCAGAACAGTCATCGGGTCAAGTGGTATTGTCTTCAACACACCATAATCATTCTGATACTGTCCCGTCTGCTGAATTGATACGCTTACAAGAAGATTATCGGGATAGTCAACAGAATATGGCAAATTTGTGCGCGGTGAAGGATGAATTAATGGCAGAGTATGACAAGGCCTGTTATGTGATTAGGGTATTACGTCAAAGGGTTGAAATGCTGGAAACTACTGTTGAGAAGCTTCAACTTAGGGAGTTGGCAGTTCCTGATATTCCACTGTGTATAGGCGAACAAGATGTCGCTATGCAGAATCTCAGGGAAGACCTCGAAAAGGCAGGAAATCGTCTGACTCAAGCGCAGGCAGAGTCATCAATGCTTAAGCGTGAGATTCGAGATTTGCGAAGTCTGCTTGCTGTTTACATGTCTAACTCAAAAAAACCCTAATTAAAAAGATGAACGATATTATTATTATTATTATTATTATTATTATTGTTGTTATTTTATTTATTATTTATTTTCGTTTTTATTTTCATTGTTACCCCTTTTTTTTATTTGGTTGGGAAATCAAATAATACAAAAAAAGATACAGGGGAGTAGCAGTTCCTTATTTGATCATTCGAATATTTTGCTTTCGGTACCCCTTCTTTTTCTTGTTTCTAGTTGAGGTGTGAATAAACTATTTTATCGGATACCTAGTAGGGAAGTACGTATTTTTTTTTTTTTAATTATTTTATTATCGATTTATCGTATTTATATCTTGATATCTACTGTATTCTGTGATCCTTTCTCTTTGTTTATTTATTTGCTGTTTTTTTTTTCATAACTACTGTGCCTGAGTTGTTTTATAATAATAATAATGCTGCTTCTGACTATTTTTCAATTTGTATTTTACAATATATGTGTTATTTCTCTTATTTATTTGCTAAATTGTAAATGTTCTTTGATAGGGATATTCTCAAAAAGTAGACGTTATATATATATATATATATATATATAACGAATTCGAGGAGAAAAAGAAAAAAAATACATATATAGTATAGTATAAATCTTTGTAGCATTTTTTTTTTCGCCGTTGAACTTGATATTAATTTTAACCCTGGAGATTATGTATCCTTTGATATTGTTGATTGTGTCTGTGTTGCTACTTCAACCCTTCCCTCGGGTAGGGTTGTGTTCGTCTACTCTTCCACTTAAGGAGGGGCTTCCTAAGGTATCCTTGATGTTGGTTGCTGATCTACATTATGATCTGTTATTTGGTAGACCGGGTGGGTATGGTGTCTGCAATCAAGGTCAACAGTCCATGACAACACCTGGTTGTGATTCTCCCTTAACACTCATACAATCCGTTATGGAAGATATATCCAAGTGGAAAGGAAAGTTTACGTTGTTTACAGGTGGTTTGCTTCGTCACGGTGCTGAGACCACAACAACCCATGAAATTCAACTTATGATGAATGAGGTGATTGATGTTCTGTCCATGACAGCTCAAGTGAATGCGACAGCTGGAGATGAAGATGGATTATCTTCAACTCAATTAGCTCTTGGAGAAACTGATTTTATTCCTTCTGGTACATTTACACCTGATGGGAAACAACCGTTCTATGAACGACTTTTAGATAAGATGCTTTCAAGTGGACTTTTAACTTCTACGGAGTACAGTAGGATGTTAAGTTGTGGTTTTTACTACCGAGATTTAAGTGGTACAAAACTCCGAGTAATTTCTCTAAATACCATTTTGTGGTCTACTTCATTACGTCCGTCATTAGGAGTGGGTGATGTAGATCCCTGTGGCCAGTTTCCATTTCTAGAAAGTGCTATTGAACAGGCTACACAACGTGGTCGAAATGTCATTATTCTTGGTGATACACCTCCTGTTCTTAACGTTGCTGATGCTTTACGTAGGAAAAGTGTTAAAGATGCCGCCTACTACTGGCGTGAAGATTTCCGTGAAGCCTACTTCCGCATTATCGCTGCATATCGCTTTACTGTAGCGGCACAGATCTTTGGCCACACAAATACATTTGGCTTTGTCGCCTCCAACACAGTTGGCCCGCCGCTTTACATAATTCCCTCGGTCTCACCACTGCGGGGAAGTAACCCGTCGTACATGCGGGCCACACTCGATCCCATCACTGGCCGCGTTGTCGCAATGCGCCAGCGGTATCTTCACGAGAATGGCACGTGGGTGGACGGTGAGAATTTGGAGGACGCCATCACAGTGCCGCTCAGGGGATTGGGCGAACACTCGCAGAAGGATCACATGTCTATTGTGAATGATGCGGCGCAGTGGGAGCGATTGGCAAAATTAAGACTCGGTGGGCGTTTCTTGACCGATAGGGAGACATGTGACATGTGGTGTCGACGACTTATTGTATGTTCATCACTTTACTATGATAAAGATGATATTGCACACTGTGCTTCTCTTGACTTACCTTCTCAGAAAGTTGGATTGATTTTAGCAATTGTGTTCACTGGATTTGGTGTATCATCTATAATTCTGGCGTTCGCCTACATTTTTTCACACTATAGTATCGTCTTTGAACCACCATTGGTCTTGGAGACGAGTAAAGGGCGACATGGTCTTTTTGCGAGCCACTCAACAGAAGGAGTTTTCAGATAGTAGCATCATCTCCTTTTTTTTTTTCTTTTAATTATCACTTGATGCCTATCATTGACACAGGTAAGTGAAAACTTTGTGTTTCACACATTTTGATTTCTTTGTATATCTTTTTCATTCCAAGAGTGTTTATTTATGCACTGCAAGGCCCGTATACTTGTTTTACTGTATATAGAGTATCTTGAAAACCTATTTACTTGAATTTTCCCATCTCTCCCACTCATTCTGTTCCCTCTTTATTTTTCCTTGGTGAAACCGTAGACACGAAGTACAGTGACCTGGAGGGGAAAAAAAAAAAGAAATGAAAAATGATGGTAGCATGTGTACGTGTTTGTGTAAATGGGCGAAGTTAACTTTGTATATGTAATAGTTGCAATTTTTATCCATGGTGAGAGTAAAAGGTAAAAAAGAAAAAAGAAAGACAGAATGCTTAACTGATTGTGGTGATGTACTATTCAAAAGTTGATGATGTTTTTTTTTTTCTTTTTCTTTCTTCTTTCACTTTTTTAATTTCTTTCCCCGCTTCAAGTTGCCATAATAGCTTAACTCATCATAATGGAAAGAACAAGAATGATGCACAAACCTCTTGCAACCTCAACATTATTTCTATTGATGCTTTTGTTGGCACTTTTCTTTCTTTCGGGTTGGTGTTGTGCTGTGCAGGTGAACTTAATATCGGATACACACTACGATCCGGCCTATGGTTTGGCAAACGCATACGGTCCTTGTATAGATAATATAAGCAGTCCTCCTCTCGGCACATCAGGATGCGATGCACCAAAGGACCTCATCACATCACTCTGCACAGATATGACGATACAGAATTCAACGTATACTTATTTGTCAGGCGATTTACAGAGACACCATTTTGATGTTAGTGGGCTTTCTTTAAATGATACATTTGATTTTCTTTCCCAAAGTCTTGCTGCTGTACATTCGAGCGATGGAAATAATACCCCAAAAGTTGTGGCTGCTATGGGAAACAATGACATGGTACCAAATTACACTTTTAACACGACTGAAGGATCAAATGTATTTATCTCGGAGGAGTCTGGAATCTTGCAAAGACATAACCTTCTTGGCAAGGAAGAAGCACAACAATTTGAGAAATGCGCATACTACATTCGTATTGTTTCACCAACTCTCAGAGTAATTGTTCTGCACACACTTATCTGGTGCTTCAGTTTGAAACCTTCCATTCCAGACGACGAGAAGGATCCATGCGGACAGTTTGAATTTCTCAGTACACAGCTTGAAGAGGCACGGTTGGCAAACTCAAAAGTGATAATCTTGAGTCATATTCCTCCCTACATCAATGTATGGGGTGTTCTTACTGCCAAAAAGTTACGCTCTGTTAAGGAGGATATGTACTGGAAACCAAATTATCAGAGTCGTTACAACACTTTAATGAAAAATTATTCTTCTACTGTAATGATACAATTGTTCGGACACACTCATCTTTTTTCCCTTCAAGCTCTTGAAAATGGTGTTCCATCATATGTTATTCCAGCTGTAACACCTATATATAAAAATATTCCTTCTTACATGGTTGCACAATTTGATGATAACACTTGGGGACTGAATAGCCTTATGCAGCGATTTCTTTCTAACTCAAAATGGTCCAATGGTCTTCGTGTAGAAGATGTTTTTGGTAATTTAAACAATATCTCATCAATTCGAAGTGCGGCAAAGCGACTCATAACTGACAATACTACCTGGGCACAGTATGTTACACTGCACGGTGGTGGTGTAGAGAATCACGCTCTATTTCCTGGTGGTGAATGTGATTCATGGTGTCGCACACTAAGCGCCTGTTCAATGTTTTCTGATACCTGGAACGATATTCAGTCTTGTATGAAAAAAAAAGAAAAGAAAGAAAACCAAGCTCTTACCATCACTCTTGTTGTGCTGGGTGTGTTGGTGATAATGGTGGGATCAGGAATGTTGTTTCTTCATTACAGGCGGCAAGTTAATCGGAAACGTGTTGGTGAACTAGTTTGCAATGATGAAACCCCAAATGAGGATGGAACTACAAATTTTGATGCTCCGGGTGAAGAGAATTTCGATAGGCAAGGTGCACCAGAAGGTGTTGACCAGAAACTACCTCCTCCCAGAGATGGTAATAATGGACAATAAGTGGTTTGAAAATGTCAGGAAAGAAAAATAAAATGATAAAAAAGAATTTTCGTGATATTATGTTTTTTTTTTTTCTTTGAAGAGACACTTCAACAAGAGAAAAAAAAAAAAGATTTTTTTTTTTTTTGTGGGGTTTCCACTATAGTGAGTAATTACTGTTAACGTTGACCTGGGATGCAATTTTGACTTCATTTTTTTGACGTAAAACAAAAAAAAAGAAAAAACGCATACCTTGTTTTGCGTTTTTATATTGTTTTAAACTTAACATATTTATCTGTAGATATGGTTCTAGATGTCTCTGTATATATAATCTTGATACTTCTTTCTATACTTTATTACGGTATTTCCTTGCTTGATGTTTGAGCAAACACTATGCAATTCCAACTTTGAACCAACTATCTCTTCTCCTCTTTTAACACCCTTACCGATTTGCAGCTACACACAGGAATAGCCGAAGATGGTTCACTCCTACGGTTACAAGTGTGGCACCCGCCACCTCTTCGCGAAGAAGTTCCGCAAGCACGGCGTGCCCTCCGTGAGCACCATCCTCACAAACTTCAAGGTCGGCGACTACGTCGATGTCGTGGCGGACTCCGCCGTGCGCGCTGGCATGCCGCACAAGTACTACCACGGCCGCACAGGCATCGTGTGGAACGTCACTCCCCGCGGTGTTGGCGTTATTGTGAACAAGCCAGTCCGCAACCGCACCATCCGCAAGCGCATCTGCGTGCGCTTCGAGCACGTTCGCAAGTCACGTTGCCAGGAGGCGTTCAAGCAGAAGCAGAAGGACTTTGTTGCCTTCCAGGCTGCGAAGAAGGCGGGCAAGCCACTGCCAAAGGCCAAGAAGAGCAGCCGTAACGGTCATATTGTGCGCCCAAAGAACGTTGAGGTCCTTGCCCGTCGCACTGCTGACTACGAGGCAATGATCCCATACTAGAACTTCTAGGTGACAGGTACTGTACACACTGGTGTGTTGATTTTATTTTATTTTGTTTTGTTGTTATGTCTTTCTAGTGATCTGTTGGCTGCATTAGCAACAAGGAAAATGCAATAAATGTTCTTGATGAGTGGTTCTTGTTATTTTACTTTTCATCATTCTTTTTCTTCTTTTTCTTTTTCTTTTTCTTTTTCTTACTCTTTGTATTTGTATCATGTATATTGTATTTCTTGGACTAAAGATCTTCAGCTTAAAAAAATTTAATTGAAGAGAAAGAATGGGTATGAGGAAAAAAATCCCAAATTTTCTCGCATATTCGTGTTTTTTCACGGTACTTCTTCTGCTTGTCTCTGCACGTGGGGGTTCATGCGCTCTATTTGGGAATTTACCTTCTGTTGTTGCCTATCAACCGGGCACGGAGATCCCAATCACCGTAAATTCCTTGACTTCTCAGAGAGGTTTACTACCGTTTGATTTTTACTCCGTGAAAACTTGCCAACCGGATAAACAGCGTATGCATGATGAACGAGTAAAGGAAAACCTCGGAGAGATTATTCTTGGTAATCGTATTTTACCTTCTGAGTATTCTGTTACAGTTGGCAGAAATGTTTCTTGCCAATTTGTATGTACTGTAAAATATGAAAAATCGGATATGAAACATCTTTCAAAACTGATTGACCAATATTACCGTGCCCATATGTTTCTTGCAGGACTTCCGCTCTTGGAAAAGTCTCGTCTTAACAGCTTAAGTAGACGTCCACGCCTTGGTTACAGACTTGGAGTATCAAAGAAGGCCAGTGTCTTGTCAAAAGTACTAATAAATAATCATCTTCACTTTACAGTAACATACGTTCCTTTAGAGATGGGTGGTTACTCAATTACAGGATTTTATGTGACACCATCCTCAGTAAAGAGTGAATCTGGATGTCCTTCTCATGATTCTATATCAGCCGAAACACCTCCACCCGTTACATCTGATGATAAAGAAATTACGTACTCTTACTCTGTTTCATGGGAAATGGATAACGATGAGAGTTTTCTTACGACAAGGTGGGATCTCTACGCACGTGCGGGACGTTCTGCAACGAAAAGGGGTCACTGGATGGCAATTTTAAATTCTCTTGCATTACTGAGTTTCTTGGGAATTCTTGTTATGATTGTTTTGGCACGAACTGTCCGCAAGGATCTACTTATTTACGGTGATGCTGATTTGACAGAAGATGCTCAAGAAGAATCTGGATGGAAACTTGTACGTGGGGATGTATTTCGAACTCCTCCATATTCTCTACTCCTTACAGCTTTTATTTCTACAGGGTCTCAAATGCTACTGATGGCTCTTGTTACTGTACTTTCAGCTTTTTTGGGAGTTTTACATCCATCACAGCGAGGTAATTTATTAACAAGTCTCATTATATTTTTCTGTTTTGCAAGTTGTATTTCTGGATATGTGGCTGGAAGGATGTTAAAGTTTTTCCGTAAGCAAAGCTGGAAGAACGGTTTTGCTGCAGTTACGTTGGTACCTGGATGCATGTTATTGGGATATCTTTTGGGAAACTTTATAAGTTGGACAAAACACGCCAGTACAGCACTTCCATTTGGAACACTTGTAGGAGTTCTCTTATTATGGGTTGCTGTACCTATACCACTTGCATTTTTGGGTCTTTCTGCAGGTTTTCATGCAGAAGTGTTGTCTGTACCGACTAAAGTTGGTAGTATCCCACGCATGGTTACGGAGAGAAGTCTTAATAAACGAATTCTCTACGTACTAGGAGGTGGTCTTGTCCCTTTTACTGCTGCCTTTGTGGAGGTTGTATATATTCTTGGATCATTCTGGAAGGGCGAACCGTTTCACTATTTCGGCTTCCTTGCAGGTATTGGAGTGGTTATTGCTTTTATATGTGCAGAAGTGGCAGTGGTCGTTACATACACTATGCTCTCTGAAGAAGATTATCAATGGTGGTGGGGTAGTTTTCTTTCTTCAGGTAGCTGTGGTTTGTACTTCTTTGGGTACAGTCTTGTCTACCTTTTTTCTGTGCTCGAGATTCGTCAAATTCTTTCAATGATACTTTTCTGCTTGTATACAACGGGAGTTTCACTTCTTATTGGTATGGTGATGGGAACAATGGGCTTTTTCGCGTCTGCCTTTTTTGTAAGAACGATATATGGGGCAATTAAAGCTGACTGATAGAATATAGTTTTTTTTTCTTTTTGCGAAAAAAAAAAATACCCAATATAAAAAAAAAACAAAAAAAAAAAAAAGAAAATTGCGTAGCAATTTATCAAGGTCCAAAGGGCGTCTCATGTGTGTCTTTTTCTTCTACTGTGTTTATGTGACACCCACGAACGTAGCCCCATATTAAGGGCATTTGAAATGCCTAGTAGGTAGCGGAGTACGGATTTTTCTATTAGTGTTAAATATGAAGAAACATATCATTAAAAAAAAAAAAAATTCTTCTTTCATTGTATTTTTCTCTAGTAACTTTTTTTTCTTTTTGTTTCCCTTATTAAATCTTTTTTCTGTTGTTTTGAAATAGTATTTCTTCGTAAGAAATTCAGGACCGTACATTTTTTTTTTTTTTTTCCTTATTTGCGATATAATAATAGTAATAATATTGTATTATTTTCTTGTTTTGCTCAAAGTATCTTGAGAAGACATGAAACGTGATTACAATCCGTATGAGGCGGAGAGTCGCATGGGTTCTGTGAAAGCCGTCTCTGGCCCCGTCGTTATTGCGGAAAATATGAGTGGAAGCGCAATGTACGAACTTGTGCAGGTGGGATCTTTTCGACTTGTTGGAGAAATCATTCGGCTTGAGGGTGACACCGCAACAATTCAGGTGTATGAGGAGACAGACGGTCTCACGGTTGGTGATCCGGTTTATTGTACTGGTAAACCTCTTTCCCTTGAACTTGGTCCTGGTATTATGTCCGAGATATTTGATGGAATTCAACGTCCACTGGATACTATTTACCGTATGGTGGAAAATGTGTTTATTCCAAAGGGTGTTCAAGTAAAGGCTCTTGATGAACATAAGCAATGGGATTTTAAACCACGTGTTAAGGTTGGTGATCTTGTTACAGGTGGTGATATCCTTGGATCAGTAGTGGAAAACTCACTGATGTACAACCATTCTATTATGGTCCCACCAAATGTACAAGGACGAATTACATCTGTTCAACCTGCAGGTAATTATACACTCCAAGATGAAATTGTGGAGTTGGAACACAATGGTAAAAAGAAATTTCTTAAACTGATGCATCGCTGGCCTGTTCGTACACCACGTCCTGTGGCAGTAAAAGAGTCAGGTAATCACCCTCTTCTTACTGGTCAACGTGTATTGGACGCTTTATTCCCTTCTGTTCAAGGTGGTACCTGCGCTATTCCTGGTGCTTTTGGTTGCGGTAAAACTGTTATTAGCCAAGCACTATCAAAGTATTCTAACAGTGATGCTGTTATTTACGTGGGATGTGGAGAGCGCGGTAATGAAATGGCAGAAGTCTTAATGGATTTCCCTACTCTTACTACAGTTATTGACGGTCGTGAGGAATCTATTATGAAACGTACATGTCTGGTAGCTAATACTTCTAATATGCCTGTAGCTGCTCGTGAAGCTTCCATTTATACTGGTATTACCTTGGCTGAATACTACCGTGATATGGGTAAACATATTGCTATGATGGCGGATTCAACCTCACGTTGGGCAGAAGCTCTTCGAGAAATTTCTGGACGTTTGGCTGAAATGCCTGCAGATGGTGGTTATCCAGCTTATCTCAGTGCCCGTCTGGCTTCTTTCTATGAACGTGCTGGTCGTGTTACTTGCATTGGTGGTCCTAAACGTGAGGGTTCTGTTACTATTGTTGGTGCTGTTTCTCCACCAGGTGGTGACTTTTCTGATCCTGTGACTTCTGCTACACTTGGTATTGTTCAAGTCTTCTGGGGACTTGAGAAGAGACTGGCACAACGGAAGCACTTTCCCTCAGTAAATTGGCTTATTTCGTACTCTAAGTATTTAAAAGTGCTTGAACCATTTTTTAATACATTTGATCCAGATTATATGCGTCTTCGCTCTGTTGTTGCGGAGATTTTACAACGTGAAGAGGAACTTCAAGAAATTGTGCAACTTGTCGGTAAAGATTCTCTTTCTGAGTCAGACAAAATTATTTTGGAAACTGCTAAACTTATTCGTGAGGAGTTCTTACAACAAAACGCCTTTACTCCATATGATAAATTTTGCCCATTGTACAAAACATGCTGGATGCTGAGGAATATCGTTACATTCTACGAAGAAGGCCAACGTGTTGTGGCGGAATCTGCAGGTGATCACAAGATTACCTGGAACTACATCCGTGAAAAGATACCGCATGTTTACACAGGTCTTACTGAGATGAAATTTAGGGATCCTGTGGAAGGAAAAGAGGAAAATATTGATTACTTCAAAAAGCAAAATGAAGAGATTATCAATGCATTTGCCTCCCTTTTACAATAAAAAAAAAAAAAAATAGGTTTGATAGGTGAATTCCATTTCTTATACCACTCTCTGGGATGAGTGAAGTAAGAGAAATAAGAATATAAAAGGAGAATCGTTGTTTCTTTTTCTTTTATTTTAGGTGAGAAAAAAAAAAGAAGTGGAGTTTCTGTTCACATGAATATTTCATGTGTGATTGACAACGCCAAAACTGAATACGAGGAATAGGCAGCACACCACAGAACCCAATAGGGTATATATATATATATATATATATATATAAATATATTTATATTTTTTTCTCTCACCTTCAGTCTGCTTAATATTTCTTTTGAGATCAGAATCAGGAGAGTTTGTGTTGGGTGAGAGCTAACTTGGCAGCAGATTTGGTGGATCGCAGGAAATGTGAGCAGGACTCTGGGTGGGGAAAAGACTTTCGGTGTTTGGAATAGCGAAACTTTAGGAAGATGAAGTCGACATGGACGTGTTTTTTTTTTTTT